GTAGTAACTAGGTTTATTCAATGTTTTTCGAAAGTTAAACAATGATCCTTTGTTTATCAGACTTGAAAAGTGTAATTTCTCTGTTTAGCAGGAAGGTGAGGGTTTATCTGTGTAGAGATGTCTGGTGGTGGTGTGATCCGCGGCCCTGCTGGGAGTAACGATTGCCGCATCTATGTGGGGAATCTGCCCCCTGATATCCGCACCAAAGATGTCGAAGATGTCTTTTATAAGTACGGAGCCATTCGGGATATCGATTTGAAAAACCGACGTGGCGGACCGCCATTCGCTTTTGTCGAGTTTGAAGACCCCAGGTGTGTAAAACTGAACCTTGAGCCTTTAGCTAAAAGCTAATCTGTTTGTTTCAACGTTTACATTCTACTTCTTAAATTCTTTATTTTTTTAAACCATTTCCTTTTGTCACTGTGTTTTAACAGTATCTATATCTGTGTGAAAAAGCGTGTGGGTCTATATTTGTATACTAACCGAACCGTTTTACTTTTGTTTTCTGTGCTAACATGCTAATTAGCTTAGCTGTGCTCACCATGTTTCCAGAGCTCAATTGTATATTGTTCACTAATGCTTGTCTTCGTAATGAGGGTAGGCTTTGCAACATTCAATTATCCATTTTTGATCTATAAAGTATTTAATGTGCAAACTTGAGTTTCATTTGTTCTGTTTAAAAAATGGAAATTTTCTTTAACTCGACAAAAGGCTTAAGCTTGATTTAAATTAGCTGCAACGAGTTCCTTACTGAAAACAAGTGTTTAACTTGCTCTGTATTTTTAGGCAGTTTTCTTTTAATATAAAGGCTCCCGATGTTTTTTAGGTTTATTTATCCAGGCAAGTCGCATAGGAACAAGTTCTTATTTTCAACAGCAGTCTGGCAGGAGAGTTAAAATCTCCTGAAAGACATAAAAACATACATTGTTATACACTCATACATTCAATTAAAACATTTGAAGTCAGTGCTTTAAAAACACTCCCTAGTAGTTTTTTTAAATTCAGAGATTGAAATATCTGTTCCTATTTCAATGACTTTTGTAGCATGTTCCAATCATTTGGAGCAGCACGACCATAAACTGTTTTCTTTCTAGGGATAATCAAAATATGATTCGATGATCTGGTTTATGTACTAACACTATGTTGAAGCTACTCTTATCTGGGTAACAAACCTATTAGGACTGTAAATGAAAATATATCCATGTTGTTCCTGTCTAAAATGTAATGACGTTCAGTTTAAAAGGGAATACAATTCACAATGATGTGTTCTTAACTAGATGGTCAGATTAGTTGTTGAGGATTAGGACCCTGTTAGTAGTTTATCCCAGTATGACCCTAACTGTACTGACTGGCTTGATATTTACATGCTTTTCTTGCTCCACCTCCTTCAGAGATGCTGAAGATGCTGTTTATGCTCGTGATGGCTATGACTACGATGGTTATCGTCTTCGAGTGGAGTTTCCGAGAAGCGGGAGGGGTATGGGGAGAGGTGGTTTTGGCGGAGGTGGCGGCGGCGGCGGAGGTGGTGGTGGTGGCGGCGGCGGCGGTGGGGCTCCTAGGGGTAGATATGGACCCCCCTCCAGACGTTCAGAGTACAGAGTTATCGTTTCAGGTAAAGTAGCGTCAAAGTTCTGCTTGATTTAAGAGCCATTTGATTTTGTATTGACTGTTGTATTTCATTTCAGGGCTTCCACCGAGTGGTAGCTGGCAGGATTTGAAGGATCACATGCGTGAAGCAGGTGATGTATGTTACGCTGACGTTTTCCGAGATGGAACTGGTGTGGTGGAGTTTGTTCGCAAAGAAGACATGACCTACGCCGTTCGCAAACTGGATAACACAAAATTCCGGTCGCATGAGGTAGGTTTGACATTTTAATCCCAACATTTGGATATGCTTAGCATTGGAATATTCTTAAGGTAAGCAAAATCCCTGGATAAGCAAAAGGTCCATGTTGTAAGTGAACCTGTCTTTGTGAATAGCAGTTGGCTCATTGTTTTTGCTGCTTAATCTGTGGTTGTTGAGGGGGAAAATAGTTGCTTTTTTTATCATTATATAAATAAATAAAAAACACATGTATGTAGAGCTGATCATGGTTATTACTGATTGTTTAATTAATTTGAATATCCCATACGCACACATTTGTGTATTTTACATGGCTGGAGGGTTCTACATTATTTATGTTAAATGAATCAATTTATATAATATATTATAAATGTATATAATAAAATGTATATAAATTTTATATATAGAAATCACAAATATGTGTGCGCGCTGAAATCGCTGATTTTAGTTTTACAAACTTTTCTTCTTCCAAAAAACATTTAAGTAGTTGTGTGCAAAAATGTAAGAGCAAGGTAAAATACACATGAAAATTTAGTACATGCCATTAAAAAGTTACATTCTGAAAAACTGATTTTTCTTTTCTCTTGTACATTTTTATTTCATGACCAAAAAATGTTTTTGTCTTAAAGCTATTTTAATTCATTACAAAAAGTCTTTCGTTAATTTTGTAACAGTTCAGCACTACTTTTCGTTTAGTTTTCTTTCATATTACTGATTTTAAATGCTATTGATCTCTTATCGGACATTTCCAAATGTAGTTAGTATCAGCAAAATCCAGTATCAGTTGACCTCTCCTTGTGAATGCCAAAGGTAAACCATGTCAAACTTGACGTCTTGTGTAGTCAGTGCTTACTGGTTAATGGAAATGGGAATACTGGTGTTTTGAGGGCAACCAAACCCTGGTAAGTATAGTGATGTATAATGTTAGCATGATTATTCGTAACATTTGCTCAGTGGAAAGTTCTTTCTCTGCCAGGGAGAAACTGCGTATATCCGCGTGAAGGTGGACGGTCCCCGCAGTCCGAGCTATGGAAGATCAAGGTCAAGGAGCCGCAGTCGCAGCAGGAGCCGCAGCCGCAGCAACAACCGTAGCCGAAGCTACTCCCCACGCCGCAGCCGAGGATCCCCGCAGTACTCCCCTCGCCATAGCCGTTCCCGCTCTCGCTCCTAAAGTGCTCCACCCTTCTCACCTCTTTGGTGGAGGCCGTGAACCATTTGTGTTTGTTTTTTTGTTTTTTTTATAGTCATTACACATCACAAACCCCATATGTTTTAACCCCCCCCTCTTGGTTTGTGAGACTTATGATCTTATGAATGTCCTATGTTCCGTCTTCTCTCCCTCCCATCCATTTGGTTATTTTTAAACGTACGTTTTTAACTGACTTCCTTTTGTTTTGCCCATCACTTTTTTTTTTTTTTTTATACAAAGTGGACGTCTTTTTCATAGACCAAACAAAGGGTTATGTAATGGCTCCCAATATTTTTGTAAATGCCATGTATGTTTAATGGGATAGTGGGTTCCACAACAACTGTTTTATGCTGTCTTCCTCTAGACGTGACACAGAACTGATGCTTTGTAATAAAGGATTACTAAATCTATACTTTGTTGCGTAAAAGGGTGAATTTGAGCACTAGAAATTGACATTACATCTAGAAATGTACTATTATTGGCCTACAGGATATTATTTGGGTAACTACAAATTTTAGGTAATCAGATGACATCATTGTTTGCATTGTAAAGATGTACTAGTTGGGTTTGTGTTCATAGATAGCAACTTTAAATCAGTTTTAGTGTTAGGCTAGTCTGTTTTGGCCTTAATGCTGTATGCATGCATCAAAGAAAGGCAGGTTTGAGTGGATTTGATTCTAACTCTTTACCTCCTTTGTCTTGATTTTGCTGGTATCTTAAGGTTTGGATTGGAGGAGAGGCTCAGTGGATGCCGGATCACTGGGATCAGTACATAATGAAGATAGGATAGGGATTGCTGGATACATGGAACAGGATCAATTGCTCCCAGGATCATAGGATTTTAAGACCACAGTTCAAAAGTACTTCCCTGCCCCCTTTATTTTCTTTATACCTCAGTGGAATATGTAGACGTTTTGGCCCTTCACATTTAACACATTGGAGGAGCAGAGGCTGGAGCAATCTGTGGGGATGGAGTCGACAGGAACCGTATGGTAAATGGGGGGGGGGGAGTGTCTTTTGGGGTTGGGGGGTATACTCAGGCATTTTTAGATACTGTCCCAATGTGGACGGTAGATGCTTTAACATCACTAGCATTTTGTTTCTTTTAGTGACGTTTTTTTGCCTAAATAAAGGTTTCATTGGTACAAAACATTGTATGATGCATTTATTTGCTTTTGAATGGTTGGATATAAAGTAAAATTCTGACTGATCTAAAATTGTAATTTACTAAAAATTAATAATGATTGAAGTCTGTAAGATTCAGGTGGAATTTCTGCTTGCTGTTTTTATTTATTTGTTTATTTGTTCAAACTAAAAGTCCGAAAGATTTTAATGAACGGCAGAAACGTACATAAAAAAAAACTACACTTAAGAATTCTACATGAGAATGTTATTCATTCATGTTAGGGATGTAAAGACATTTGCTTAGCGACTGTAAACTGTAGTTTGGATGAGGAATTATGTAAGAAATAGATTCATTCTCAAAAGAATGACTCGTGAACCGGCTGTTTTTGTGAATCAAAGCGTTATGATAGTCATGAAAAAATGAACTGGAACTGTGTTTTTGTTTTGTTCAGTCTTGAATCCGTGTCAACTTTTGAGTGATGACAACTTGAGTTTCTTTGCAATCAGTGAAATTTTAAAAACGACAGTAAGCAATAGTATTTCTGTTATGTAGTTAGAATAATTAATTGAGTAGGTTTTTTTTTAGTAACTCCATGTGGTATGGAAGTGCACTTCTTGTCAAGAACTGAATTAAATGTAAATTCTTATTCTGTAGAAATAAGAAATCTCATAAGAATGACACACACGCATAATTCTATAAAATTCTAAAAGAATCGGATCCAGTATCATTACAATTATTCAGTTCTGGTTACATTGCACTGCGTGGGAATGACCATGAGGTATCTCTCTAACCTTGCAATAATTTATTGTGACGTGGTGGTCCACCGAATCTAATTTAAGCTATTTCCTGGCCTACACAGTCCCGAGGCTTATAACCAAACAAGCACATTCCCTCTGGTCTCCGGTTAAAGATGCATTGTGGGATGAAATAAGATGCTGGCAGAGGGGCGCAGGGAGCGGCTGGTCTGCAGCCAATGGCGAGCGCTGTGTAGGACGGCATTGTGAAGAGCCAGGGATTTTAGCGCGGGCACCAGTCAGCGTTTGACTTGATCCTTATGTTCTTCTCCTAGCGTCAAAAGGGACACCCGAAACGACGAAAGCTCGTACGGCGACTGTTTTGAATAGCACACTTCTCTTGCCAAATATTATTGACAGGTGAGTGGAGTAGTTTACCATCTCGAGTGATGTACAAAGAATGATCTAGCATGTATTTTGAGCCGGATACATTCGTTTTGGAAATTTAAATCGCGTTTTTTTTTTTTTTTTTTGGGAGGGGGGACAATATCGCTTTAGCAAAGATGTATTTGACTTTGAAATGAAGATGATGAGAACGCCGCGTGCACCTGAGCTTCATTGATCTGCTGGAGCATCAAACGCGCACGCTTTGAATGGAGGTGTGACGTAGCATTCCTCCATCCTTACCTGTCAATGTCTTGATAGATGATCCAGACCGTAAATCGTCATTTGGTCGACTGCCACCATGATTATTAGTTTCACTGCTAAATAAGCGTGGTGTGAAGTGCTGACGTAGCTGTGCATGATCTTTCAGTGCTGCTTTATAGTAGTTTTGCATGCATTTGGAGCAAATGCATCATTGTTAGTTATTAACTAGTTTAAGTACTTTTATACAGGATTTCACTTAATTTGAACACAGTTTGTCTAACATTAGTAGTATGAAAATATGGCCTTCTTTGATAGCTGCAAATGTAGTTTTAGTGTTTGATTGAAAGACCTGCCTCTTGGTTCTCATGAAAGTATCCAGTGACATCTGATTTGAATTACCTTAACAAATCAGATGCTCTCCGTTGATGGCTTTCTGTCAGGAATTTACCTGCCATTGTCAGGGAAGAAGCACCCATGAAAGGCCCCACTGTTTCGAGTGGAAGTGGAGACTTAACTAAGTTTGTTTTTTATTTTTTTCAGGCACCATGACTGACAGGAAGGCTGTGATCAAGAATGCCGACATGTCTGAAGACATGCAGCAGGATGCGGTGGACTGTGCTACACAGGCCATGGAGAAATACAACATAGAAAAGGACATTGCCGCATACATCAAAAAGGTGAGATTTGAGCCATACTGTTATCTTAGACCCCCGGCCCCGATGTGTAATTTTGTTCCGTTAGCATTTCCTTGTGCTAAAACCATGTCGTCTCATGTTACAGGAGTTCGATAAGAAATACAATCCTACGTGGCATTGCATTGTGGGAAGGAACTTCGGCAGCTACGTGACCCATGAGACAAAACACTTCATCTACTTCTACTTGGGCCAGGTGGCCATTCTCCTGTTCAAATCTGGCTGAATCTAGACTGGACCAGACCCTAGAATGTATCTCCTGTGAAGACTGTGATGCACTGGTGGCTGATGTCATCAATGAAATATTAAACGAGACCATACCATGACTATGCTGGCTGTGCACAACTGCATGGATCATATCCCATACTACTTGTGTACATGTTGCAGTTAAATTGCTTTTCATTAGAGGCCCCAAGTTTTTGTTAATGGTCCTTGCAGGTTTTTCCTAGCACATATGTTGTAAAAATAAATAAAAAAAAGGAGCTAACAAGCATAATTGCGGAAGTCAGAAAATGTGAGTATTAACCAGCACAAATGTCTGCTATAAATGGATATATTTTTGGTGACTTAGTGCTGTAATATTTTGAATGCCATGCGCTACATGTCATTTTTGGGGTATTGGGGCAAAGCCTAGAAGCACATTTGGTTGAATGGAGGTGGATCTGTATAGTTTGATTGGAAGCATTTTGTTCTAGAAGGAATGTTTTTGTCTGATTACCTCTGCAGTAAAATGTATATTTTCTTTTCATTTGAGGTATTGTGTTTTGAGAGAGCTAGTATTGACTTTTGGCAATGTGTTATCTGACTATACAATGGATTAGATGTATGTAATTGACATGCACATGTAATTAAGTTTAAGAGCAAAAACATCACATGTAAGTCATAACACTAAGTCCATCAAATACTAACACCATCAAGCCAATAACATGTTGTCGTCAAGTCTTTTCATGTAGTCGTCTGCAGAACAGGTTTCTGAATGTAATTAGTAAGGTCTGATCGCACAACAGATGTATTTGTCGTCTTCTTGTCTGCTGTTCTGCTATTTCGGAGTAGAGTTAATTAGCATGTGTCTGTTTTTCTTTCTTTCTTTTTTTTTGACTTAAGTCTGCACCTGATCATATGTCTTTATGGTTTGCACATTGCATATGCCAAAAGCCCACTCAGGTACCGCCATTGACAAAAGCGGCCTGTCAGATTCATTAAAACGTGATTGAAAGACTTTGTTTGCTATTGTGTATTTTTGTCGCTCGTTCTTCTTCTATCTGGGCCTAGGCCCTGCAGTAGCCATTATCAGCACTGAGCCAATAGAGGGCTCCCTCTCATCGCACATCTCTGTGAGGCCTACCTACAGCCTGAATGATGATGATGCTACTGCTGACATAGAAACATTCGTTTAAAATGGTGAGAGACGAAGCGTCAACACTTTTAACACACCTACAATTCATTTGTATAAAAGAAATATGAGGGAATTTAATGTCTAAGAGGCTTTGTGTTAGTGACGTCATAATGGCGATAATCAAGTTTTACAGTTTTTCTTAATCACTGGCACATTTTTCGAAACAGTCTTAAAGCTACAGGTAACTTATACGCACATCCAGTGAATATTTCCGATTTCCTTTTAACTCGTACGGTGGCCAATGTAGTCCAAAATTAACATGGCTTCCAGTTCGACCAGAGAATGAACGTCGTCCATGAACAAAACAAACGTAAACGAGAAAGGCGAAGCTTGAATGAACGGGTATGTCCCTCTTTGACTAATGTACTTTCAAGATTGAGGGGCAACATGGCGACCGACATTACAACCCCCCCTCACCCGTATGTATTTTCAATGGCATATTATACACTCACGAGAATACTTTATTACTTGAACGAAGTCAATATACATTGACGAGCACATATATTTTTGAAAGAATTAAGTGTTTTAGCTAAGAATAAACTAAAGAGTTACACAGTGACAGTGTAGCTTTAACATTCTAAGTGTCACTCACAACTCTTTTCTGGAACGTCTGGAAAACGTAGTAAGGTTTTAGTAGTAACTAAAATGGGTAACTAAACATTGAATTCATGCTTAAAAACCCAAAACCTTAGTTAAGTGTCAGTTAATTGGCCAATGCGACCAAAATAAAAACGCAGTCCATTTATTTTTACAGCAATGTGTTACATGTAAACTGAATATTCTCAGTTACAATATTTTCATAGTTACATAACTTCCTATTGCTTTTCCATGACAAGTTTTTTGTTTGCATGTAACAATTCTGGAAAAAAAGTACTGTAATACACGTGTATTAATACAGTACTGTTGTAGCTGCTGATGTGATGTTCCTCCATGTTCAAAAATGGTGGTGATTGGGCTCAAACTCCATATCCAAATTTGATTGGTTGATAAGATTGTGATTCTTATTTCATTACAATGAGCAGGTAATATGCCCATTTAGCAAACATTACAAACATTCCATGTCATAAATATTTATGGAATATAATATGTCTGACAGATTTTGATCACTGAATGGATCATTTTGCATGTGATGGCTCACACGATGAAAGAATGTTTATAGTTTGTGAAGAGATTGACAATTTCACAGAGAATCAACTCATCAGTTTTGATCAACAAGCTGTGTGCATTTAGTCATTGTTCAAATGGTAGATAATTGTACTTACTCTTTTGAAGACGTGCCAAAGCACATGCAATTTGCTTAAATCAATAAGAAATTCAAATCCGCTGTGAACAATAAACTAATTGTACAGAGATCTGAACTTATTGTTTTGAGGGGGAAAAAAGTAAAATTTGAGAAAACTGGCTTTGGCAATTTCACGTTTTTATAATGAAATGGACAGTTTGTCAAGACAAACTTTAAATATTGTCTTATTCTTCTAATAATACTATAATACTGTCAAATTCTTGTCAAGATTAGATTAGAGAGAGAGAGAGAGATGGATAGACAGATGGACATAATGATAGATAGATAGATAGATAGATAGATAGATAGATAGATAGATAGATAGATAGATAGATAGATAGATAGATAGATTTTTGCGCTTGTCCTGTTTTGTGTAAGTGACACCATTAACCTGCTGAATCTAATCATGTGAATTCAGAGACCAATCAGGAGCTCAAGTGTCTTTCGGTTTGTTTTACAGCCCATAATGTGTGATAAGATGTGCTGGAGCATGGCTCTTTGTTTTTCTCCTCTTTCTGATTTTATGGCTGTGGCAAGTTTATTCCAGTGCTTTGGAAGGGCAGGTCTTTAATCCATGGTTGCCTTATTTGCTAGAGCCAGATTAGATTGTTTTATTTATTTATTTTTGCTACATAATAATAATTATCAAATGGAATAGTCATATTATGATGGATGTGTTTATCCTATACAGACGAAAGTCAAAAAATGTTAATATCAGCAAAAAAGTTAATTTATTTCAGTAATTCAACTTAAAAGTAAATAGACTCATTACATGCAAAGTGAAATATTTCAAGCCTTTGTTGTAATTTTGATGATTATGGCTTACAGCTATAATAACCTTTTCACAATATTCTAATTTTAAATGTGGGGGGTTCATATAAGCCAAGCCATAATCAAAATTATAACAAATAAAGGCTTGAAAAATCTTTATTTGCATGTAATGAGTCTTTATGTTAGTTTCACCTTTTAAGTTGAATAACTGAAATAAATGAACTTTTGATATTCAAATTTTTTGAGTTTCTTCTGTATATTTTCCATTAAATGTCTGAATGTAATTATTGGAAAAGTCCCATCTTCTGATATCAAGTAATGCAAACCACAAAAGAAATGAAGATGTCTCTTTTAATGAAACTCCCCATAGTCCTTATCAAGATCATAGTTTGGTGATTTCAAGAAGGAACTGTGATGTTTGTAGGCTGGATAGGAGGATTTCCCCTGAAGAGTTAATGATTTCCTCACTTGTTTTATTAAAAGAGGTGAATTATGCTCAGGCAGAAGAGAAAGTTAAAAAAGATTAAGAATTTTAGAGCTAGAGAGTTTTTTTTTTTTTTAAATTGACTTTATTTATTTGCTTGCTTGTTTGTTTATTTAAATTAACATTACTGTTCAAAGGTTTGGGGTTGGTACGATTTTTTAAAGCCTCTTCTGTTTACCAAGCCTGCATTTATTTGATAAAAAATACAGTAAAAACTAATACTGTTAAATAATATTACAGTTTAAATTAACTGCTTCCTTTTTTATATATGTTTTAAAAATTTATTCCTGTGATCAAAGCTGAATTTTCAGCATCACCGCTCCAGTCTTCAGTGTCACATGATCCTTCAGAAATCATTCTAATATGATGATTTGCTGCTCAAGAAACATTCTTATCGCTGTTGAAAACATTGTGCTGCTTAACATTTTTTTTTGTGGAAACAGTGACTTTTTGATTAATAGTATTCAAAAGAACAGTATTTAATTCTTTAGATCAAATGAAATGCTCAAACTCCTTAAGACCCTCTTTTCCATTTCGGAATCAGTTGTCCTCAGTCCTCAAAGTTCGTCCTTGTGCAGGGGACATTTGGGTGATTAGCTTCTTAGCGTCATGCCCAATCTACCTTTGTGCCCCCAAGAGAAGTTTGTTCTAATAGCTTTGCTCAAAATTGAGCGGCAGCCATGGGGCTGAACAAAGCCGAGCAGGAAATGTCTGAGGCAGTCACGCTGAACACAACACTTCAGGCCTGGAACTGCCATCCACCTGATTCACTAAACAAAGCAGAGGTCCTCGCCCCCATAATGCAACATATTACAATAGTTATTTCATACCTTTTCTGATCTTATATACATATATATATATATATATATATTTATAATTTAGGGCTGTCAAGTGATTAATCACGATTAATCGCATCCAAAATAAAAGTTTTGTGTTTACATAATATTTGTCGGTGCACTGTGTATAATTATTTTGTATATATATATAAATACACACACATGCATACGTATATTTAAGAAAAAAAAATAATTTATTTAATAAATATTTATTTATAATATAAATTATATTTAAATCTATATACAGTATATACATGAAAATATTTCTTAAATATATACAAGCATATGTGTGTATTTATATATATAAAATAATTATACACAGTGCACAGACATATATGTAAACACAAACTTTTACTTTGGATGCGATTAATCATGATTAATCATTTAACAGCCCTAATGTAATTAATTTTTATACCAAATTCTAAAGTAAAACTTACTTTTGACTGCACTAAATTTAAATTAATTATAAAGCTTGTCATTTTCAGATATACAAATCTCTTATGATAAATATGAGACTCTTATGAGAATAATAAGTACTCTACTGTTCAAAAGTTTGTGGTCATAAAGATATGTTTTGAAAAAAACAACAACATTTTTTTTCCAGTAAGGATGCATAAAATTGATATTATGAAATTATAATGTCCCAAAAATGCTATTCTTTTGAATGTTGTTCTTTTTGAACAGCATAACTGTTCTCAAAATTGATAATAATAATAAGAAGAAATGTTTCTTGAGCATGAAGAAACGCTATAAAGCAGCGATTTCAGAATGATTTCTGAAAGATCATGCGACACTGAAGACTGGCGTTATGATCAGCTTTGCGTCACAGAAATAAATGACATTTTCAAATATATTCAAATAGGAAACAGTTATTTTAAGCTGCAATAATATTTCACAATTCTACTGATGATTTTACGGCATTATGTATCAGACAAATGCAGTCTTAGTGAGCATAATAGACTTCTTACAAAGCATTTGAACGGTGTGAGTGTAGAAGGAGACTCTGTAACATTGTTTGAGATCTTGTTGGCCAACAATGTCAGTGATACTACAGGAAACAGGGTAAAGGTGATGCACAAAGTCTTTTATGAGGCCGCAACAGTCATGAAAGTTGTTCTCCTCTTGACCTTGATTCCACATACGAACAGACAAGGAAGGAATAGTTACTTCCTGGATCTACATTATCCTGATAGCCTTGCTTGGTGCCTTTTCAGTCATTTTCACCAGGCTTTAAGATCCTTCAGGCAGAACTAAAGGCAAAGAAAAACATCCTGCTGTCTTGCTCTCACCATTAGTTTAGTCCCACTTTCTAATGCTTTTCTCTTGCATCATTCCCTCTTCCCTCTTTCTCCGCCGCCTGCTCGGCCAGCTCTTTATGGCTCTACATCTTGTAATCCTGCCCCTTTATTGCTTTCTCAGTGAGCTGCTGTCAAGGATAAGGCAATTAGCTTATCACCAAGTCATGATTTATAGAATCTACAAGTGACACAGTCCTTGCGGTACCACACTGATCCTCTTTGATTTCGGTAAAACATCTCACTCTCCACTGCTTTCCAGCAAGACGTATTAAAGTCCTGGATCAGTGACTCAGGGAGAGAGTATTAGCAAATACATCACATAGCTACTGTGCATCAGTGCCTGACTTTTAATGTCATTCAGGAAGCCCTTGGAGGTCTAGAACCCCCCTTATGAAAATGTCCCACTCCCTGTGGTTGTGTGTGTGAAGGGATGGAGGGAGAGGTCAGATTGGTGCCAAGCTTGATCCCTCTTGCCTTATCTCAGGTAATATCCCGTCTCTCAAGGCATGTGATGTTGAGCAATGGGGTTGTAAAGCGGCGCAACGCTTTATGAGTGTTCCTGAGAAACCTTATAGGCTTCGCTCCACGCTCGATGAGCGATTCGCCGCAGGACCTTCTTCTCTCTCTGTCATTCGCTCATGTTTGCACTGCACCGATGTGGAGACGGATGGATTGGTTAAGGTTTAATCCCAAAGATCATTGCTGTGGTAAATGAGGAATGAGAGATAAAAAAAAAATCACCTGCAGTTTTGTCTTGTAAAATGTCTAATCATCTAAGTGTTAGGATGAATTAATCAATCCAATTTCACTTAATTATCAAAGTTCCTTATAAGGTTCTGTTTATGATTCTTTTAATATTTTTGAGGACGATATTTTGGGAAAAATATACGTAAATGTGATCCAGTAATAGGCTTTAAGTATACAGCAAATAACGTATTTTGACAGAAAAATGTGCTAACATTTCATTTAGGCCTATTTATTTATAGACAATTTTGCTACTCGTATGTTTAACTGCACATTTTCACATGAACAACCAATCTGCATCTAGTCTCACAGCTGTGTGTATTATAAGAGTCATTAGTGGGGTTTTTTTACGCTAATTTTAATTTACTAAAATTGTTAAATTACTAAAAAATGTTATTGTGATTTATGTTTTTGATTCTCTGAAAATTCAGGCTCATAAGAGTCATTCATTTGGGAATCAACCCGTTTATGATTGACTGAAAGATGTGCTCATTTTGTGAAAAGTGATTTTGTCATTTTGTTTTGAAATCAGTCTGCACTTGTCGTGCTTTATGTTAATGATTTACTAAAATGTACGGCTGTCAGGGATTTTGACTGCACACTTGTGATTTATGTTTATGACTCGCTGAAAAATCAGGCTCATAGAGTCAAGGAACAGTTCAACCAAACCAGGAACAGTTCAACCAAACCTTGCTTACTTAAACCAAAAATTCTGAATATGTGCAGGTTTATGACTTTTTTCTTTATAGATCGCCTTCTCCTTAGCAAGTTGCATGATCTGATGGGCCGGTTATGCTCTATCTTTAGCTTCAAAGGTGGGCAAAAATAATGTTACACTGTAAAAAAAAAATTTTCATTGTAAAAAAAAATATTTTCATGATTTTGTAATCACAACATTTTTTCTTTTGTCAAATCAACTTAGATGATTTATGTTGTTCATGAGTTTCTGGTGATTAAATCAGTCGCCTTCATTGTATTAACTCAATTTTTCCATTTCAATGAACTTAATTTTAAGGCAACCAGATTACTAATTTTTTTAAGTTAAACCAACAATATTTTTTACAGTGTAGAAAAACAAATGGATAGCTGTGGTTGTTTAGTAATTGTGGAATAATTTTGTAAAAATACAGTTAAAATGTAAACATATTTACAGACCAACCTGCAAATGTTACACTTTAAAACTGTAATTTACACACACAAAACATTAAACTGGTAACTTCAACAACTCTTTTCTGCTTAGCACTAAAAAACAATTCCACCTATTTTCACTTGGTTCAGTTGCTTCTGTTCAATTTTAAGGTACAATAAACTTGATTGTACAAGTGTTTTCAACGGGATCTTGTTAAAATTGTAACTTGAAATTGCTTAACTTATTTTGATGAGTTAAAGTAATGTAAAAACATAAGTTGCCAAGTTTCCATAGTTTACTGATCATATAGTTTTTTTACAGTAAAAATCAGTTTTGGACAAGCACCACAATAAGGGTAAAGAGAAATCAAATCAAAGTTCATCTTCAAGTTCAAGTAGATAACTGAGATAAATACATAAATATATCGAAGGTGCACTGTGTCAAACACAAAAATACAAAACACCATTATGGTCATTCAAATATATCGGCCTTCAAAATCCTTTATCGGTCGGGCTCTAGTTTAAAGTACAAACTTTAAGGTTAATAACTACATGTACTTACTATAGAGTTGTGGTTAGGGTTTGGTCAGGGTTAGTTACTTGTAATTATGCCTTATTTACTGTTATTGCTATAGTAAGTACATGTAGTAACGTGTCTGTTACTTTCACAGTGTATTTCATTCCTGAACTTTTTTTTGGTTGACCGTCTCAGTAGGGGGGTTGCGAAGAGGTAGAGTAGTAATGTCTGATCAATCTGGGAGGTGGACAAGTCAATGACTTAATTTGATTCACTCTTTCTTCAACATAGAAATCCACAGCTTCATTCCTGAATGTAGTGAACGATACGGTGGCATGCAGTCCGGGCACCCAGGAGGGCTGTTTTTTAGACCCCCACGAGCTGTCGACAATGTGTCATGGCGTGAGGGGCAGGAGGTTGAGTATGCGCTGGCACTGTGTTGAAATGCAGATGGGCCGAGACTCAGAGCAAGGGGTCGCGAGGGGGCCGAGGTGGAAAGGTCAATCCGATGCGGCTCTCCATGCTTGGAGAGGGACCGTTTTTCCATGAGGATGGCTCCAGTGGTCAGGGTTAATGTGCTGGTTGAGGAAAGGAGATGTGCAGATGAATTCATTAGCGGAGGAGCAGAGGACCGTGGAGACGGAGAGCAAAGGGACACAAGGCAGAGTCCACTCTGAAAGAAGGGGGCCGGTTTGGTGACCATCGGGCCACCAGCACCATAGTGACACGATCAAACAAAACAAGACTGTCCAAATATTCTCACTTTGATAAGATCCGATCGATCCTTTCTCACTTTAGGGGCTGTCATGCAAACAAGAATCTTTTCTGAGCACATTTTTTTGGTCTTACATGACAGCACGTTAAGCGCGATGAGTTAAATTAATCTGTGTGATGATGGCGAAGGGAGCGAAGGTGTTTCGAGACATTGGGACAGACGCCATGGTTGATTGAGTGTGAAGTTTTTCTCTTTACTCATGAAATAATGGATAACGTTGGCTTTAACATTAGGTGGCATTTTGCCAGGTATTTGCTCAAGATTGAGACCTTAGGGGGGCATCGAAAGAACATGGCAAGCAGATACACTCAGAGATTCGGAACGCAGCCATCGAGACACCGGTAAACACAACTTGCATGGTTGTGTTGTCTGGGATCATTTGTGATTTCTGGATAACTAAATGTTAAAGAGGTGATTTCATAGTCCCTTCCAGTATTTCAATCCAGACAAATCGCGATTGATTGTCCTTGGTAGACTGACTCTAGCTTCCCAGGTGTTTCTCCTGAGAATAAAAAAAAATCAAAAACCTATATATCATGTGTTTCTAGATCCAAAAAGATCACAAATTGTGCAGATTTGCCAAGATAACTGTCGGCAAACAAATGTCATTGATCTAATTAGTATCTTATTCTTAAGCCGAACATGAGTTTTGCCTCAATAAACTCCTAATTACTGCTTATTAATAGTTAGTAAGGTAGTTGTCAAGTTCAGGTATTGCAGACTGATCTCATGAAGTAGCGTGTGTATGACACGCCAATTCGTATTTCAATTTTTGGCGTGCTATCAAGATGCATAATCGCCTTTCAGCGTGTTTATGAACGCCGTTGACTTAACGTTATATAAACATATGAGTTACCTCAACCCCGTCCCTAAACCTAACCGTCACTGGGGTTAATGGCATTTATGACTGTTCCCTTTCCATCCTAGGTAAAAAAAAAAGATATGACTTACCTCAACCCCATCCCTAAACCTAACCGTCACTAGGGTTAATGGCATTTATGACTGGAGATTTGACTCCGTGTACGGACACGCGGAATGACGCGGACGTTAATGGCGTAGACATATACGCATAGACGCAGATACACGCGGACAGCTCACAATGCGTAGCGATAACACGCCACCTGACTCGAAAGTGGCGTATATGTTTAAGTCATGATGTCATATAAGGGATGTAGAATATGGTCATGCAGAACAAGGCGTTTATGTGCTTTATAAAGAGCCAATATTCTATAATGCTTGCTAATAAGCAACTAGGACCCTAAACTAAAGTGTTACCAATTTTATGTTCTTTTATTTTTTAAATGAATGTATTAAAAATAAATTTCTTTTATTTTTCTCCAATCTTATCAGTGGACTCATGTATCGTGCATTACTGTTATCACCACCTTAACCTTCCTTATGTGTGTCCTGTGTTTGAGTTGAGGGACAGTTACAGTGAAACAATACCTCCATTTAGATCTCCCTCACACACACACACACCGCAGAAACATTGATTAGTGTCTGAGCTAAAGGGAAATGCTGATTCTCACCTTATGTGTTATTCATTAACAGCTGGGAAAAAATGAAATAAAGAGGAAATAGATAACTTGCTACTGCTGCCGTCAGAGCAGGATGACAATTTGCTGACAGAATAAAATCTTGACACTTGCATTTTGGCTTACCTGCACAGTTAATAGGTGCAATAAGATTCACTCCATGAGACTCTGTGTACACTCATGTAGAAAAACTGGGTACAGAAATTAAATAATTGTTGGAAAACCAAACCAAAGTCATTCCAAATATCAGAGTTATTATAGGAATACAAACAACAGATCTTTCTTGGATAAATCTAGCTGTATTTGCAGATTTGACTGTGTATCAGTTAGTGAAGAGCTAAGTAGTGGTGTGAAATCGAAATGGCTCAGCGTCCTTGAACAGATCTTGGTGAGGTGAAAAGACATAAAAGTTGCATGCTGGATGCAAAATATCACTGTGTTTTACATTGTCATAAAAGTAGACAATGACATTATTGCCTATAAACGACGTAAGACTGTACAACTGATGGTTCAGTGGCCTTTATTGAGGAGATTGTAAAAGCATCTTTCTGAACTTTCGCGAAGATTTCAATTTACGTGTGGAGTTCCCACTTCAGACTTTAACATCTCACAGCTAGATGTTTTTATGTGATTGAATTTAAACTGAATAAATAGGCATAAACAACTGGATTAATATAGGTTTGATTAATATCCTGCATATATATATATATATATATATATATAATTATTATTATTTTTAGTGCCTGGCTGTATGATTAGATTAACTTAAGAAATAAGATAAATATAGTTCTGACTCTGAGTTTTGAATGAACTTCCCTCAAATGAGCCTAATTGAAAGTTTCTGAAGTGTATTTCTGTGAAAACTAAGCTGTGCTTTCTTTGCAGGTTTTTGGTAAGAACATTTGTGCTTCTCATGGCCGCTGATGGCCGTCCTGCGTGCCGCTGCATTAATGAGGCTGCTCCAAACCTAGCCTTAATCACAGAGGAAACCATGCAGGTAATTGCCTTTGAATGTTTAATTGCGTGTGTATGTTGGGTGGGAGGTGGAGGACATTGAGTGAAATTGAGGAGGAGGGTTAAATCAAGCACTTGATTTCAGTATGTCTGTGGAAAGATATGGAGAGCCACTCATAGAATGAATTAGGCCTGAATTCAGGGTTTAAGGTGAATCTGAGAACTTGTCCTGCTTTGTTTTGGCTGAAGACAGAATGATTCCCCTTAATAAGGCTTCTCTATTCATTGTGCAACATGACATCATGACTTTTGCGTAATCACCACGAGAGTTGTGACTCTAGAGTTACACCCCTAAAATATTGAAATAGGATTTTTGGATAAATTCAGATGCCAGGGCTGTTATTGTGGTGTTTCGTTTGAAATAAAACAATGGTTAATGGAATATGTTACAAGAAAATAGTATTTCAGTTGTACTTGCTGTTTATTTGTAACTTGTAATTTTTTTTCAGTTTATTATTTGATATAAAGCTAAAATAAAATAAAGCATTAATAGTAGATGGAAAAACAATAATTAAAATGTAGGAATGTTAACCTGGCCAGCTAGCTTAAATATAATTTTAAGTTTAAATAAAATGACTAAAACTGAAATAGTACAATACTATACGCCTTATTCACGGAAGCGCCGTGTTTGATTTTTAATGAGAATGAAAGCGAGGCTGTGAGGGATAGACATGCATCTCTTCAATGGGCTGTACTGTTATTTAATGGAAAAATATCTTTCCAAGAAATTTTAGTTGACAAAAAACTCAAAAAATTGTAAGTAATCTAGGAGCTTTATTCAGCTTTTTACAGTGGATGCCATTGGAAACACGGTAAGTCTATCCTTCATACCTGTCATGGCGCTGCTCTGAATAAGGTCTATAGAAATAATACTAAAATAACGAGATTTAAAAACGTCATTGACTATAGTTACTAGTTACTTTTGTTTAGCAAACTAATAAATATAAAGAATCGATTTAAAGAAGTACAACAACATATAGACTATAAACAACAAGCAAAATATTTCTCTTTCTGTATTTTTGCTCACCGGTTGTTAATTGATTTTTTTCCCTCTGACCTCTGGGTGGCGCCAGTGAGGGAAAACGTCAACAGACTGACACACACAACAGGCCAGTGTGTGAAAAGCAGTGAAACTCCATCATCAGACTACCTAAACTTTTAAAATTTAACCACCAAACGCAACGCACCAGAAACACTGATAGCTAACTAACACACAGTCTAGTGGCCTGTCACAGGTGTGGATCCTTTGGCCTTCTTCTGTCTGGAATGTTTAGGAGTGGCTGGGTGTTGGCGGACTAAACATATCTCCTTTTCTTCCAGGTAGACTTTCATTTATGACACTGATTTAAACCACCAAACTCATTCAAATACTATAGTGGAGCGGGAAGTCGATAAAGTTGCAGTCTGGAAAGTGACTGTCCTCCACCTCCAGCCACTCAAGTCATAGCAAACAAAAGCCAAGCTAACACATTTGTCTCATGTGACCTTTCACTATCATTGATGTGCACCTTTAGGCTGGGGGACGAAATGGGATTTGGTTGGCGTCTTTTTCTCTTTCCTTTCATGCCTCAGTGTGTCTGCATGTGTGTTTTTGGGTCATTTGTTTTCTCAGAGTCATTCCCTTTGAATATGCGCGAGCTATTAACCTGAGCGCCAGCTGTCTGATTAATTGCCCAGCTTTAGTCAGGTGGACAGGACTCAACATTCACATCTCTCTGGGCTGGAAGAACCACTGAGCATGAACTGTGCCAAATATTTTCCAGCCAGTTTGAACTATTCATTGCAAAGTGCCTGATGTATTAATATTAATATATTATATATATATATATATATATATATATTAGGGCTGTGCAAAAATTAATTACGATTTATCGTATCCAAAATAAAAGTCTGTGTTTACATAACATATTTGTGTGTGCTCTATGTAATTATTTTGTATATATAAATACCTATGCATTCATGTATATATTTAAGAATTATTTGCGCTTAAATTCTGTATATATATATATATATATACATAATCTATTATATAAATATAAATATTTTATATATGAATAACACATTTTCTTAAATATATACATGCATGTGTGTGTAATAATATATACACAATAATATATACACAAAATAATTATATACAGCACACACAAATATATTATGTAAACACAGACTTTTATTTTGGATGCGATTAATCGCAATTAATTTTTGCACAGCCCTAATATATATATACAGTATATTGTATTATATGGAATTTATTTATTATTTACAAACAACGTTGAACCCCACTGACTTCATTAAATGGACAAAAAAACACTGAGACTTAAAGAAAGTAAGTCGTATAGGTTTGAAATGTTGACTGAATGTTCATCTTTTGGGTGACCTGTCCCTTTAAGAATTATAGCCAATTTTATATAGCCTATTTAATATTTTTGTCTAATTCCTTTTCTATATGTCATAATAACTCATCCCTGGCTGAATGTTCATCTCAGGAGTATAGAGCATGTTTATTAGCACAAACTGCTGGGAATTACATGCTTGTTATGGTAAAACCTTGTGAACGTCTGATGTAATGGTTCAGAATTGCGGTGGGACAGGCAAAAAGGAAAGGGAGGTGTATGCATGGGGTCATAGAGTCCTGATGAGGAGCTAAAGAGGGCATCCTGACCCTGAACAGAGATGGGGTTCCTCCATAGATGCCTCCCTAACCTACTTCATTCATTTGTTGTGAGAGTAATTTGCCCTTATTGAAGGTGAGCTTTCATCTGTTAGAAAGGATTTGATACCTAACACCTGGTGCAGTGTGCATTTTAGGCTTGTATTTCCAATCAGTGTATTCGGTCACTAGCATATTTTAAGGAAACAAAGAAGTCACTATAGGAGGCAGAAAAGCCAACAAGCCAATAATTCAACCTCAAAGCATGTGCGATTGGACAGGTCTTAACAATTCAGAACAGTTGATTCACGGGCCCTACACACACCTCTTGTACTTGTACTTGTAAGAATAAACACAACAAGGAGACTTTCATGTTTTGGGCACCATTCAGGAAAAGTGTACACATACCCACACTTACTCTTTAGTGTGTGTTGACTGAGCCAACATTGTGTCAGTCAGTCAAGGCCCGAGACAGAGAGCCACACAGCCAATCACAGGCCCTGTTTGCGTAGCAGGAGGTATTAGAATTGAACTCTGTTGAGCTTCGTCCTCATGTCATTTTCGGCTGTGTTGTTTAGACACTTTTCAAAAGTCAGATTCAATATGAACTCCACCAGCATCTTCAGATTTTTTCATAAATGATCTGCTATTTAGATACGTTTTATAGCTTTTCCCTATTATTGTATTGTCTCATGTATGTCTGCTTTTATTTCTTCCATTTTAGGAGAAACATCAGATTCAAAATTGATCCTTAAATGAAATGTATTTTTGAGAACTCCCAAGTTTCTCTGAGACAGATCAAAGCTTCATTTGCTTTCGGCCGAAACTCTGTGATCCAATCAGATCCTAGGCTCTTAATCAGTGTCACTCATGCTTCATTCAACGCTTCATTCAACGCTTCACAATGAGAGGATCTGTCAACTCTTCCCAGGTATTAAATCAGCTTCTCATATCAGAATGTTTGCACACCACAAGTGTTTTACATTAAATTGACAATCTTTGGTTTTCAAATATAATATGAAGGGATCTTCTCCTGTGCGTCTAATAAGCCATGTTTAAATTACGTACACTTAAAATAATCATTTTAATAGCAGTTTATTATTTTTGGTTTAATTATTACTTTTATTCACCAAGGAATGTGAACAAATGTAACAGTAGGCATTAATTAAGCTACAAAAAATTATAATAAAAATATTAATAATATTAATATTAATAAAAAAATGTATATATTGTTTGTATACGTTACATTCATCAAAGAATCATGAAAAAAATGTCATGCGGCTTCCACAAAAACATTAAGTAAATTATTTAAGTAAACATTAAGCAGCACAACAATTGTAATATTTAGTAATATTGTGAAATATTATAGTTTTACTGTATTTTTGATCAAGTAAATGCAGCCTTATTGTTTTTTGTTTGTAGTTGTAAAAATCCAAACTTTTAAACAGTAGTGGACCTAATATTTTATACAATATTTTTTTCAAATATTTTACTAATTTTTATTATATGAGTCATATAAATATACATATTAAACAAATTTATTCAGGTTAACTGTTTCACTTTGGACACTAATATTGCTATGAAAATGGCCAAATTTACCGCCATTTACAATTCCAGCAAGTTGTATGTTTTAAAAGAAAAACAGGCTCTTCAGTAGAGTGGAACGGTCGGAGGGTGCATGCTGGGGGTAAGGTCCAGGTTACCGTGTGGAACGAGACATGATCAGCGGCTGCTGAATCTCTCTCACACACACACACACTTCGCTGCCCTTTTCGCCCAAAAAGTTTCCAAGCGTTCCGCTCTGTGCCCCAGACTGTGATGGAGGGAGGCTGAGGGAGGAGGAGGGGGTCACAGATCCAAATGGCTGCCAAGCACAGTTTGGGTCAACCTGCTATGCTCATAGTTAACCTAAAACCTCTTGCTTCATCCCATTCACACAGAAACCACCATGAACTGACTTGAACCGGATTAAACTTGCTTTTGAAAATGCCATTTTTAGAAATCTTTTTTTTTCAACACGAAACTCATGGAAGTACCAGCAGAATACAAAAGAAAAAGACTCCATCTGTTGCTATTCTTTTACCACATAGTTTTCATTTACAAATATCAATATCAGTATATACAAATATTCCTACGTAGGAATTTTTAGGAGTAGAAATGAGTTGAAAAACGTTACTCTTTCTTCAAACTCTCAGAATTACTCAGAAACTGGATGTCTTTAAAATCCTGTGTTCCTGTGGTCATGAATGTCCGTTATGGAGCTCAGGCACCTGGCAGGATGTCTGGCCGTAAATGAAATTTGCATGCGCGTTACTGTCATCCAACTGTTCCACAAACCTTCAAACCCACATATTCAAACTGCCCCTGCTGGTGCCCATATGAATAGCAGTTATGTCCTTCCATCTTTTATGTTTTGCTGTTATTTAGCAAAAATTATGTAAAGATGCAATTCGAGATGCATCATGGATTTTTACTATTTTCACTCTATTGAAAATTCACTTGAATCCAGTTCATTTGAAATTCCAAATTCAGACTATTCGCTTCGCCTCAGATGTAAGTCGCTTTGTTTAAGGTGGTCTCGCAGGTAAAAAGTGTCCAAAATCATTCTAACTGACCGGAGCACCGACTAAGACTCAGAAGACTCATATTTTCACAACTGATTTTTTATAGTCTTGTGGGGTGTTGATATGATCTATGATCTACCTTCTCTCTATGAGATGTCTGTTTCTCGATACGCTTTACTACACAATGCTTTCACAACAGAGATGAGCCATTGCTTTTTTGCTGTTTGTTATTATTTGTTGTTAATGGTTAAAAAAGACATGAGAAAATTAGTCATGCAAGCCTATCTTCATTTGGCCTTGAAAAATGTTTTGGGAGATGAGTAAATTAATGAATAAATGAAGATATTGCAGTCAAATCGATGAATCGTGTTTGTTAATATATATGTGTGTATTTAACCCAACCTAAATTTTGGTTAAAAATGTAATTAAAATTTTTAACCTGAAATGTAATTTAATTTTTTTTTTAATTTTAAATTTTAAATGTTACTTTAACTTCAACTTTCACTTTCAACTGTACATTTTTTAATTAAATTTTTAACCCAACATTTGGGTTTGTCCATATTTGACCCAACTTTGGGTAGAAATAATCCAGCATTTTTAAGAGTGTGTGTGTGTGTGTGTGTATATATATATATATATATATATATATATATATATATGTAAAGATATATAAAAAAATTTGTTAGATGTGTTTAATCTCAATTTATCAATTTGACAGCAAAAATAAATACACAGTTATATAAAAGCTCATTAGTAAAAAAAATAAATAGCCAGAATTAGCTATTTAGAAAAAAATAAATCTGATTTTATAATCATAATATCCATCTGTTGTTTGAAATTATCTGATTCTCTGAAAACTTCTAATTAACTCTTAAATCACAGTGATTTATGTTTTATTTCTGTTCACTTCAGCAGACAATCCCAAAAAAAGGAGTGAAGTTTTATCAGGTGATAGAATTATCATGCACCATGGCTAAAGAATTTAAGCACATTCTTCTGAGGAACTTTAGTGAAAAGTGCACATATACTGCTTTGCTCTGTATTATATGATTTAACTTTTAATTTAAGATTAATCTGTGTTCTATCTCTATTTGCTTCTCTGGAATTTTGCGTTACACATGCATTTTGATGATAGCCACTTTTTCTTAATCCTCCTTAGAGATGTTAAGAAAACCGATTTTTTTTTTATAGAAATCTCTGACTGAGAACAGACTATTGCTAGATGAGCTGAGACAAAATCAAACTAATTATTATTTATATTAATTTTAGATAACGTTATTTTACATACGAAAACATCGTTAGTCTAAATCACTTGGCGTTTGTTTTGTCAGTGTGTTCTCAGTTGTAGACCTATAAGTTTAAATATGTAGCCTACATATTCTTCTAAACTTATTTAATAATGTCTTATTATTATTATTATTATTACGTGGTTTAAAAAGAGTCGTCAAAGTCCAAAGTTCTTTCAAGTTGTGCTGATAACAGGCCAGTCAGTGTAAACACGCTGTACCTGCGCGTTAGTCAGTGTGGCCCACGACAGCTCATTTGCATAAAGGCCCTCAGCAGACGCCCACTCATTACCATATTTTATATCGCCTGCCCTCTGGAAGCATCATGGCAAGTTATATCATTCAGTCCGACAGGGAAGTGGCCTAACTTTTCCGAGCAGGTGTCTTCGGAGGAGCTCATTGGAGGAGTGAAGAGGGAAAATTTCACATTCTGCATTTCCCTCTTTACACCTCCCTGCGTACTAAACATTTAGATGTTCGCAAAAATGGTTTCAAAGTTGACGTCTTTGCAACAGGAGCTTTTGAGCGCCTTGTTGGACTCTGGAGTTACGAAAGATGTGCTTCTGCAAGCTTTGGAAGACCTGGACCCAAGCCCGAGCTCTTTTGGAGTTAAACTGGACAGTCTTCAGATGTCGCCCTCCGGTTCCAAACTCAGTGATACGGATTCAAAGCCGGTGTTTCACACGCTGACCAATGGACACAGTAAAGGGAAGTTATCAGGGGATGATGAGGGCTCGGAGGACGGGGATGATTTCGACACACCGCCGATACTGAAAGAACTGCAGTCTCAAAACACAGAGGAGGCAGCGGAGCAGAGGGCAGAAATAGATCGGATGTTGTCGTAAGTTCATCACTTGTTTAATATAATCATATTGCTACAAATCAAAGAGATATAGAATTGAGAAAGAGACAAGGGGCCGCTGAGCTGTAGGCTACAGCAGTTAAAGGCCGACTGTTACTGTGAAATTACTGTCGTTTGACAAGTTGTAATTTTGTCGTTATGTTGAAAACAGTTTATTTATTCGTTATAATACAAACATTTTCACAGAAGAGTCCACATTTAGCAGAGGTGGGGGACTCGAGTCACATGACTTGACTCGAGTCTGACTCGAGTCACAATTTTAAGGACTTGTGACTTGCTTGATTAAAGTACAAAAATGACTTGACTTGACTTTGACTTGAGAACAAGTTACTTGAGACTTGACTTGACTTGAAGTGGAAGACTCGACAATGACTTGAACATATAATAAACAAACAGCAATAGGCTAAAGTTAATTAAAATATATATTATGACGTCAGCATCAATATATCGGCATCTGTGCCTTTACGCTGCTCAATTCAAACCGCGCCAAACGGAAGTTCCGGGAGTCTCACGCATATTGATAGCGTCTCCCTGATGCCCGCAAATGAGTTAAAATCTCCCGGAATCTAGAGCGAGATACTGCGCGTATAACATAGGCTACATAGCGTGCGGCGTGTGCACGGCAGAGATATGGGAAGCCAAACAAACCAAAAGTGGGACGAGACAGCGGGGCTTTACAGAGCTCGTGCCGCGCAGACATGTCATCTGCACGGTTCAATGATCCGAGCCGCGCAGCCGATTCGTCAGCGCAGCGCGGACGTGTTTCCTAGCGACACTCAATAGTCAGCGCTGTACTGACCAACGCAAACCATATGCTACATACTACATGCAAATAAATGTACAATAAAGAAACCCCTCCTTCCTTACAAAGAATTGTTCTCTTCTGAAGTTTAGGAGTTAATTATGGAGAATTCCACAATTAAAACAATCATTTGTTAATATTTATGTAAATTTAATATATAATATACATAATATTATTTAATATGTAATATTTATTAAATATAAAATATGTTAATATAACATATTACCATTTTTATTTTATATTTATTTTAAACATATTTTAAATATGTTAATATAACATATATTAACCCCCCCCCCCCCCCCCTAACATTACATTCATTGAGATATACCTCCCTGAAATGAATTCTTGTAGGTTGGGATGTCTGTATATGCAGCATAGATATATACACGGCTGTGCAGCTGCAAATGCGTTTTACATATAGGTTTCAGTAAATCGAGGAAAAGGAGTTTCCGAAGACATTTGTTGGCTATGATAAGAAAAACTACTGAATTAAAAAAAAATTGCATTTTATATTCTCATACATTTCATACATTTTATATTTTACATTTATATAAGATATAAGATATTACATTTTAGATTTCATACATTTTAGACCGTTTCAATTAAATTGAATTAGACAGATTGGATTATACATCTTAGAATCGATACATCTTAGACTCTGAACGTTTTGTGTAAACAACACAATTTTATTTTATTTTCAGATATTAATGTAGCACAGATATGCATATGATTAATATAGCAAATGTAAGATACAAAATATATGTATAAAAGTTCATCTTTTCTGTGCAAAAATAAATATGTATCGAAAAAATTTACCTCTATTTATTTTAGTAGTGTGACTTGACTTTACTTGAAACTTATCAGGACTTGACTTGACTTGCTTAGAAGAACCCTTGACTTGACTTGACTTGCTTGATTTATCTGAACTGCGACTTGAGACTTGACTCGAGACTTGATGGTTAAGACTTGAGACTTGCTTGGACTTGACCATGTGTGACTTGTCCCCACCTCTGACATTTAGCCTACTAAAAATCTGCTGACATAAAAATGTAGGCCTACCTATTTTTAATTAAATCATCACTAAAATGGAAACGTTGCTACCACTTAATTTAATTTCTGATTGAAGTTCTGAAAACTGATAAAATGTAGCTAGTATTTTATAAATTACTACGGTAATAAAAGACGGAAAATATGTGGTTATAATGTAGCCTAATGAACAAACTTTTCTGAACCGCGTATTGGCTTGAAATCTGGAAACGAAATTCAGTAGGCCTAATGCTTTTTCCAAACAGATTTAACTACTGACTTCAGTGTGTTTACAAATTTAAAAGCACGCGCCAGTGTTTCCTCTTTTCACATTCTGGTTACTAATTATCTACGTGAGTTATTTCTTTAGAGATATATCAACTAAAGAAGATCTATTTATTATTAACCACCTCTGCCCCCTCGAAAGAAAATAAATAGCCTACACGCGCTCTGTTGTCTGATTTCATCTCTTTTGACGTTGTCCGTGAATGTATATTTTAGGCCATGTAAATAAAATGATTGATGAAAATTGTTGTAGGCTATTGCTATTATTATTGCTATTCTAGGTCATATAATTATGATATTATTTAAAATACAATTAAAAAAATCTAACGCCTAATGAATGTTGCATTTATTTTTTTTATTAGGCTATAGGCCTAGGCTATTTTTATAATTCAGCATATGGTATAATCAACATCGACGTCACGAAATAAAGCTGAAAATCAAAACTAAAGCACGTGGAGTTGAGTTATTAATTTTATCCTATAAATCATCAACTGAAAGACACACAGTGACGAATGATTAGCGTGAAAGGAGATCTAGTTATTCATTGTCGAAAGTTATAAAGCAAGCTCGCGGACGGACATATAGCATGTTGTCAGTCTCCAAATCAAACCGTCTGGACAGATTTCAAGAGCAAAGGTTTAATCTGAAACTATGGTAAGACTAAACTTCGTTTTAATGCATCTTAAAGCATGTCTGCGGCTTTTCGCGTTTTCTCTCCTGTCTTATTTATTTAGCCTATAGACTAGCCTATATTTTTATTTAACTAGTAGACTAATAAACATTACACAGCTTTTAATTTAGTTTTGTTTTTAAGGAAAAGCATATAGCCTACATTTAATAATAGATTAATATTATGTTGCATCGACTGCAAATTTACCAGCCTACGGACTCGAAAATAAGCTTCATGATTCTGTCTATCTTGTATTTCTTTCTAGATATTTCTCTACGATTTTAGGTTATAGGATATATAGACCTAGTTCTCAGGTCTTCAAATTCACCAAATAAGTTTAAATGCTATCTGAATGTGAACGGTGCGCTTAATATATTTATTTTGAAATATGAATAGAGTTTTTTTTTTTTTATTAGCATCCAACAACTTTTCTGTTGATGGATAAAAAATATTGTTATTATCTTAAAGCTAATTCCATAATGCTATAAGCATGTCAAATTCGTTTAGTTTCTCTAATCCTATAGCTTTTTTTCTTCCGAGTTTTTAGCAATTTTCATCTCACGCAAAATGTTCTCCTTCTCTCTAAAATACAGAGCATTTTTAAAACGTTTAATTACAATTTAGGGCATTCTTAGTATTGTTTTTGAGATGAGTTTACAATGTTCTCGGTGAACAATATGGCTGTCGTGATTCGTGAAGTCCTTCAGTTGTCTCTAACTTGTCCTTTTGTAATTAAATCACAGTAGTTGGATTGCGAGCAATGAAGTCTTTAACCTTTGGAATTATTTACAACCTATTGAAATACACTGATTAACGATTGTGTATTAGCCCTGGGAACAATTTACGCACTTACAAAACAAATAACATTTTAAACAGATTAATAAATTCACTATCATAAATATAAAAGAATCGAAACCAACGGTTAGAAGGTGAGCTAAAATTAATGATATAAAATGAGTTTGTTGTAGTAATTGTTTTGTGTTTCCGGTCTCTTCAGGGAGGACCCGTGGCGCGCGGCCCGCATGATCAAAGGATACATGCAGCAGCACAATATCCCTCAGCGCGAGGTAGTGGATGTGACAGGACTCAATCAGTCGCACCTGTCACAGCACCTGAATAAAGGCACGCCTATGAAAACGCAGAAACGGGCTGCGCTCTACACCTGGTATGTCAGGAAACAGCGGGAGATCTTGCGACGTAAGTTAATATTTGTATTTCTTGCTGCAATGTGAGAGTTTACAGTGCTAATGAGAATAGTCCTGGTAATATTAAACTGCCCGAATCAACTGCATGAAATTAAATAGTGTGCCTAAAGCAGCACTTTCCACCGGAATCCATGCATGAATTATGAGGATTATGGCCTATGCAAAATATTTTCATTCTTTTTCATAAAAATCATTTTCATTGTTATTTTTTTTCTTATGTAATTTTAGAGAGATTCAGATGCAGTAAGGGCAGAAAGAGATTATTACACACAAAAAAAAATGCTGGGTTGTTTTTATTACATTTTAACTCAACATTTTAACTTAGCCTTTTTTAGAGTGTATACATACACACACACACACACATATATATATATATATATATATATGAAGAGTTCAGATGCAAAAGCCTCTAAATGCCATTTGAAATTTTCTTCTAAAATGACCATTTTTATCAAGCTTGTATATTTAAGTTCAGTAATTTCACTTAAATGACAAATAATAGGTAATCTTCATTGCCATTTAAGTGAAATTACTGAACTTAAATATACAAGCTTGATAAAAATGATCATTTTAGAAGAAAATTTCAAATGGCATTTAGAGGCTTTTGCATCTGAACTCTTCATATATATATATATATAAATTATAGGCCTACACTCTTAAAAATAAAGGTTCTTTGTCGGCATATTTGGTTCCATGAAGAACCTTTAGATTCCACAAAATGTTCTTTATATTGGACATTTTTAGAATGTTCTTTACACTAAGGGGGTGGGAAATGGTTCTTTTTAGAACTGTTGACTGGAAGGTTCTTAGGGGAGTCGAAAACAGTTCTTCTATGGCATTAATCGTAAAACATCCATTGTTTTAGGATTAATGCCATGTCTTTATTTTTATCACTCTAAAAAATGCTGGGTTGTTTTAACCCAATTTTGGGTCAAATATGGACTAACCCAACTGTTTGGGTTAAATTTATAAATTGCATTTTTTAATCCAACATTTGGGTTAGTACATATTTGACCCAAAATTGGGTTAAAAAACCCAGTATTTTGTAGTGATGCACATAAAAATAAAGATTCCAAGTGGGTGTTAGGATTAATGCCATAGAAGAACCATTTTCAGTTCCCCTAAGAACCTTCCAGTCAACAGTTCTAAAAAGAACCGTTCCCGCCCCCTTATAGTGTGAAGAACATTCTAAAAATGAACATTCTAAAAAAGAACATTTTGTGGAACCTAAAGGTTCTTCATGGAACCAAATATGCAGACAAAGAACCTTTATTTTTAAGAGTGTAGGCCTATTATTACAATTTTTTATATACTTTTTTTTGGAGACTGGCTACTTGTTGCATCATCATTTTGAATTTATGTTGTCATAAAAAGCACAATGATATATAAAAAGGACAGTCAAAGTTTATCCCCCATAGTGATTCAGTGTAACATCACACCCGGAAAGCTTTACAATGACTGCATCAAAGGGTTAAATATCCATTTTTTCAAGAGATGTTACTTTATTCAACTAGAATTAAACGTATATGCTCATTTAATCTTTGTCTCGTAAGAAAATTCTGAAAGTGACATCAAAATTCCTCTATTTTACTTTTCAGAATTCAACCAGATCTCACATGGCTGTGGCAGCAACATGTCAGACAAAGGCAATCAGGATCAGGTGCTACTTTTTTTCTCAGACTATAGTCAGTCTGCGCAGGGGATGGTGCAGCCAGGGGATGATGCTGCCATTGAACCTGCTTGCAAGAAGCTCAGACGCAACCGCTTCAAATGGGGGCCTGCATCCCAACAGATCCTTTACCAGGCTTACGAACGGCAGAAGAACCCCAGCAAAGAGGAGAGGGAGGCACTGGTAGAGGAGTGCAATCGGTACGTAAAAACGTCAAAACTACTTCCTCACTTTCATCCCAGTTGTGCTAATATGTTTCTCTTGACTACATTCAGGGCTGAGTGCCTCCAGAGAGGAGTGTCGCCATCCAAAGCTCATGGGCTTGGCTCCAACCTGGTCACAGAGGTGCGAGTCTACAACTGGTTTGCCAACAGGAGGAAGGAAGAGGCTTTTAGACAAAAATTGGCCATGGATGCCTACAGTGGGCCAACGCACAGTCTGAACTCCCTCCTTTCACATAGTTCCCCACATCACCCACAAGCCAGCAGCTCCCCACCAGGAAAGATGCAAGGTATTGACACAATCTCTCGTCTATTATTTGATATTACTCTTAGTCTGTGTATGTGGCTCAGGGTCGGAAAATACATTTATTGATCATTGTCTCCTCTGCGGTGTGGTGTGCAACGAAGTTGAAGAAGAGATGAGGTAGTTGATGAGATCAGGGGGAAAGAAAGAGAGCAGGGCAGTGATCAATGAGTGTGACAGAGTGAGCTGAGCAAATGGCATTGTTATTCCCAGCTTTGAAACACATACCAAGAACAATCTGCATTGTACCTGCAATCTCAGCTCTACTGAAGTCAGCAGGCAAGAGTGAGGCACAAAGAGCAGCCACCCTTGGACAGGACACAGGGTCAACCCTGGGTCATGCGGCTCAACTCACTCTCGAGTCCTAGTTATACCTGTAGGGTCACTGCGGTTTACTGCAGGCCCGCTCCTCTGTTATCTAATGAATTGTATTCCCAGAAGGATTTATTGACCTAGTTTGATATGGCAAGACTTCAGCAGTAAAAGCAATAGACTCTTTGACTCAACCAGCTTATTACCTATTGTTGCTCTTTCATGTTTGAGCGCCAAAGGGTTTTGCTTGCTTCTACGCATGTGGCACAGCAATGAGTGGCTTGTCTGTTTGTGCGGCGTGGTGTTTCCCTCTGCACACCTGACCAGTCAGTGACCTCATTGTGTTCATTTGGATGAGAAGGGGGAGGAACGGGATGGTATCGGCCTTCTCTTCGAGGGTCTTACAAGGTGTCCCGCCAGATCCCTGCCAGCAGAATCAGCTGTTTTTTGGTGTCAGAAGCAGGCCTAACAAGAATGGCACAGCAGGACCCCTCATCACGTTGCCAGGGCACAGCCTGTATTATGCATGCTTAATTGACAATTAAAATCCTCAGCTACTACATCTCCCAGGCCTTTGATAAGGGACTCCCTTCTTCCCTGCTCTCTTTACCCTGTCTCAGCAGGGAACCCTTTTGTTTATGCTATATTAGAAGACTGTAGTGACTGTAACCGAGGTTCATTTATCTCTGCTAGGCCGGGGGGAGGGACAACTCGGATCCCCTCTCACCTTTATGGGCTGGGGTATAGAAGCAGTAGCTGGGCTCTGAGCAGAACAGCAGGAGCTGTCCGCTGGGCTTTGGCTCTTTTCGGGCCAGACAGGACTGATGAGCCCCTTCTGCTCGAGGTATGGAGGGTGCTGGGTGATTCCCGGTCTCAGCCCCCCTCTCAGAAACTACGCAAACCCAGGTTTTGTTAAGAGGTCGTTACCAGGTCAGATCGGAGAGAGACTCTACTTTTTTTTTATTGATTCAGGTTTGGGCTGTTGATAACAGACAGGCCGTTTTGCCTCTGCTGGAAGGTCAACTGATATGTGTTTTTGGGGCCTGACTATGTTTGTGTTGTGGTGCCGTTGGGAAAGCACACCGTTTCCAGAATTCTCTTTGATAACATTTAGGTAGAAAATGTTGGAGTGGTTGTCTAAAGCACTGAAACAGTATCTATTAATTTAAATCGTTAAATCTAGACCGTCACCTCATGACCAAGGAAGCTATAAAATTGACCCGTTTAGTAATGTTTTTTTAATTTACCCCTGACATATAATAGCAAAGTAGAAGCAGAGAACATTATTTCAACTATCCTTGCTTAGTCTATTGGGGGCCACAGAAAGGCTGAAAGGCCGAGTACGTCCTGCTAAGACCCAGGAGGCCTCTCATATGCGGCAATGCTATAATGAGCACTGCCTGGGGATGAAGAGCAATGCTTTGATATTACATGCATCCCAGGGAGAGCTGAACCCTTTAAAATCTGCTGAAGTCTAATGCTACCACTCCCCTTTAGGATGTCCCACCGACCTCTGCCTCTAACCAAAGTTTGCGGTATTGGTCAAGCTACACTAAAGAATTGTTAAAGTTGAAAACAAAGTCTTGTCCAGGGAGATTGATATTTCCCAATATTTAGCTATTTTGAGATTATTGTATCAGCCAATAACCTTATACACTGTCTAGGTATAGCTACCAGCAATGGTTGCTGAAAGTGTCTGTAGCTTTTCTGAATAGCGTAATTAAGACTTGGTTTATGATACCATTCCATGTAACTTTTATGTTGTGGTCTCAGAGGTTGTATTTCGGTTCCTGGTTCCCTCAGAAACCGAGCCCTCCTGCTGGTCAGCATGGCCCAGACAGCGCAGACCTGAATGATTGAGCGTGAGAGGAGATCCCTGCAGTCCGAGTGAATGCCTGATGGAGTCAGACAATAGCCTGTTCTCTCTCTGACACTTTTAGTGGGTGCGCGGTAGTAAAGTAAAGACTGTTTATGGTTGCTGGCCCATTGTGTGCTGAGCAGGTTGTAGGTCCAATGGAGTGCTTTATTGTCCTGCACTGGTGTTTACAAGAAACTGTAGAGAGCTGGCAATGCTGTAAGTGTGCAGAGGGGGGCAAAGTCGTGTCTGCAGAGTTTCCCTGCACAATGAAACTCAAAAAACGATAGATCGATTTGTTCTAAGACCTTTCTGCCATATTTTTGCTGTTCTGCTGGTCTTTTTGTTTGGTGCATCACTCTGGGAGCACTACGGGTATTAAGAGGTTATCAAAAACAAAGCCTTATTTCATTCAGCTGTGTCGTCATCTTGCTTGGCTAGCCAAACCTGGTATTTGAAAGTAGGAGTGAAGACTTTTGGACTGAAAAATGCGTATGACATTAGCATTACTTGAGTAATGTTTACCTTGTTCATATCTCTGGAGCTCGGGGTTGGCAAACACCCATTCGATAGGAGACGGGCTGAATTCCTGTGGCCCTGAACGTTCAAGAGTAGCCACAAAAGATAAAAGGTCTAAACAGAGAATTAAGCTTGCGTAGAGCATTATTATCTCATAAAGCTTTATTTTACATGGATTTCACGTTGCCTGGAAGTTTCTAGTAATCCTGAAGACCTAGAATAACAGGTTCGGGTGTTTAATTCGAGCTAGAGCCAAACGCTGCTAGAAAGTGGCCCTCCAGGAGAAGGATTGGACACTCCTGACGTAGATAATGAAGTTCTGAAGGTCAGTGCAGGAGAGTTGCGGACAACCCACATGAACACGTTCAGATGACCTTGACCGTTCAGGGACCAGGTGCGGAGGGCACTGTTTGTTTACTTTGCCCTAACTAATAGTTCCAGACTGGGACAAATTTGCAAAGCATTTAGGAGACTAAGGGCCAATCCCAATTCTACCCCTTACCCCTTCACTTTCCCCTTCCCCTCTGTTTTGCGCGTCCACGTGAAGGGGTAGGGCTGTCCCAATTCTCTTTTGGTTGGAGGGGGAGGGCTAGGGTGAAGGGCCAGATAGCCCTTCAAACGAAGATTTTTCGGGAGCACACTTCAAACGAAGGGGTATGAGAAGTGTCACTGCTAACCCAGGCTGGCTGCCCAAGCGACAAAGGAGACCCATAAATTTAAGGATTTGTGGCTTTAATAAGTATTATAACGACAAATAATGATTTGCTTTATGTTACATTCAATATTGTGTTCATATTTACGGTCAGTTTCTTCACAGACACATTTGTAAAAAAAAAAAAAAAAACGCTAAAATTACTGTAGTTTGCTAACGATAGTCCCGCAACATATTTTCGTCGTCTCCAGCTATTTTCCGTCTCCCAAGAAAATAGCTGTAACCCACGTGACTGAGATAACTGCAGCTGTCGACAGGATCTTGGAAGTTGTGATAAACATCGGCGCATCTCCTGTGACGTAGGCGCTAGCGACGACTTATAATGACGTTTAACGGAGGCGTAGTGGTGTCCCATTTCTTAGGGGAATATTTTCACCCCTACACATTGCCACTCTGTTTCAAGGGTCAAGGGGAAGGTGAAGGGGTAGGGCTAGGGGAAAGGGAAGGGGTAAGGGGTAGAATTGGGATTGGCCCTAAATCTGATCATTTTCTTTCTTGCTTTCTTCCTTAATAGGTGTCCGGTACAGCCAACAAGGTCCTGGTGAAGTGAGTTCCTCCTCGACGATCAATCACCATAGCAGTAATGCCATGGTAACCAGCCAGTCAGTATTACAGCAGGTCTCTCCGGGTGCACTGGACCCCAGTCACAGTCTCCTGTCATCTGACTCCAAGATGGTGAGCACTTCTGAGCCCAGATAAGATAACGCATGCCTACCCTTGACACAGAAACACAAAGTAGGGCCTAATAGATACCTACCTTCACCCAGTAAGTGGGATTACAAATGCTGCATTGTATCTCCCAGTGCTAAACTTAGAGGCAGAAGGCAGGCCTTGGCCCATAGTGCACCGCAGGGCCGACCTTAGCAAATGTTAGCCAGTGGAAGTGAGAAAGGGGCACGGCCGTGCCTGTGCCAACAAACCTGACAAAGAAACATTCTGTTTGTATTGATTAAATGCCCTGCAGAGGAGGAGAAGGGTGGAGTTGTGCTTGTTCTCTGTTGGTTGAGTGACACTGGCGCTCAATGGAGTTCGTTATCTGAATACTAATGTTTGAGTTGGGCGAGATGTTCATGTAGCTTTTTGTTTCAGGACAATTTTCTATGCATTAATTTTTCCTGCAAGGTTGCGGTGTTGCGTTATAGGCTAAATTCATCATGCTTTAGAGTGGTTTTCTGTCAATGGCAGCGTAGGAGGAAGGGAGTATGACAGGAGCTTATCTGAGTAGTCAGACGGTTGTCTGAGCATGGCCGACTCTTAACTCGGCTTATTCAAATAAACCTCTGTGTCTCTGTCAGGGCTCCGACACCTTCATAAGATAAGAGTACAGTTGAAACAGTTCTGACAGAAGCATTCATTCCAGTCAGTCCGTTGAACTATCGGTGCATTTTCTTCACAGATCTCTGTATCAGGTGGAGGTCTTCCTCCAGTCAGCACCCTGACCAACATCCATGCATCTCACCATGTGCACCAACAGACCCCCAACCTCATAATGCCCCTCTCTGGAGTCATGGCCATCGCACAAAGTGAGTGACCCACCTTGCTTTCCTTTTCAGATTCTTTTTACATTCTCCACTTGACGCCTAATTGTTCTCGCATCCAGGTTTGAATACGTCGCAGGCACAGACGATACCTGTCATCAACAGCGTTTCAGGCAGTCTGGCAGCTCTGCAGCCGGTGCAGTTCTCGCAACAGCTAAACGTCCAACACCAGCAGCTCATGCAACAGTCAGCAGGCCACATGAGCCAACAGCCCTTCATGGCCTCCGTCTCACACTCACACAGTCAGTCCACGTCGTCTGTCCAGTATCTGATCTAGTCAAGTTCTTTCAAATACCTGTTTATGTGATTTTCTGTTTGTGTTTTCTTTACAGTGTACTCACACAAGCAGGAGCCACCCCACTATTCTCACTCGTCTCGGTTTCCCCCCACCATGGTGGTGACAGATGCCAACAGCCTCAGTACACTGAGTTCAATGTCCTCCAGCAAACAGGTCAGTCACCCACAACATTTACCAAGACAGACTTAAGTTTGTTAGGCTACGTTCAGACTGCAAGCAAATGTGGCCCATATCCGCTCACAGTTTGCTCGCCTCACAGTTTGCTCGCCTCACATATGACAAAATTTGCTCAGATCAGCTTTTCTCATGACAGTGTAAACAGTACAAACCAGGTGGAATCTGATCTTTTATATTCTGATTTGTGCCACTTCCATATGTGGGACTAAATCCGATACAGGGCGGCTGTTTAGCGATGCGACCGCAGTCTGAACAGTCATATCGGAATTCACGCAGAGCAACATTCGTCACAATTCTGCACTCATGAGAGTCACTTTTTTACATACCCAACGTTTTCAAGAAAGTCTCGAAAAGGTAGTCAGGAAAGGACAGGACTCATAAGTATTACAGTGACAGCTCTATGTACAAGCAAAACATGACGGCTCGTATTATAAATGTTTAAAAACTCTAAAAACGCAAACGCAAGTCACTTACTCAAATGTCCGCCGTGTTTACTTCCGTATTCCAGTTGTGTTTACTTCCGTATGCCAGTTCAGGGCCATGATTTGTTCACACTGGAAACTAATATTGGCCACATTCAAACAACAATGTGAAGAGCTGTACAAAAAAATCTGATCAGGGGCCGTATTCACAAAGAATTTTAAGGCTAAAAGTAGCTCCTAACTGTCACTTTTTTATTATTTTGACATATTTAGATTTGTTGCGTCTGTGTTACAGTATGTTCCGCATGATGGCCCTGTCATTTTTCCTTACTAATAGTTGGTCTGAAAGGCATTGTGAATAACTTTTCAGAGAAAACTCCTAGCTAAAATATTTTAGTGCGATTTAGAAGTACTCCTAGTGGCAAGATAAAATTCTTTGTGAATACGGCCCCTTAACAATAAATAGGGACACTAAGGTTCACTGTGTGAATGTAGCCTTAAATCTGTTCTAACAGAGCTGATTGGTTTCTTTGTGGGTGCTCAAGTCTATCTGCATGTCTGTCATATTTCTGTAAGCTTCTTATGAGTAAATAAAGCCATGTGGGATGGAATTGTTTACTGTAATCACTTTTAGCTTCATTAAAACTACAAAGATGCTTATGCCATGATTCACAAACCTTGTTAAGCCAGCTACTATTAATAGTTTTTTTTTGCTCATCTGCTATATTCATGACAATCAGTTGGGCAAAGTAATGGTGGCAAAGAGGAAAAAAAAAAGATCCTAAGAATTTTTTTATTATTGAATTGTTTTCATACTAGATTCCATTTTTTTTTTTACATATCTGTACAATATTACATTACTACATAAATTAGCACAGACCCTACCAAACATTAACAGATTTTTTAAATATTTAATCCACAATCTGTCTCCATATACTGGCAAGAGTATTTTGATTGTACAGATACAGTTGATTGTCAAAATATTGCTTTTAAGCTCCGTTTATCAACATTTAATCACTAACATTTCTTAAAGTGATCAGCATAAGATTTCTGGATAGGACTGATGTTGAGTTTTTCAGTTAGAAAAGGCCAATGGGGTTTTTATCAGGCAGAGAATCTGCACAAAAACCCAACCTGCCTCAGTGTCTTTGTTTAGCTGGGTTTGTTGCACATCTCGATCAGTGAAGCGAACCAATGTGGATACTCCTCAGAATTCCTATTTCCTTTTGAACAGCTTGACCAATCAGTCACCCGTGATCCAAGCCTGAGCACGACTTGATTGATGAAACCGCCTTTCGCTTTCTTTGTCACACTTTCTTTCTTTCTTTCTTTCTTTCTTTCTTTCTTTCTTTCTTTCTTTCTTTCTTTCTTTCTTTCTTTCTTTCAGTAAAATTATTTTAGAAATTATTTTGTAAAATTATTTAGTAATTTTTTTAGTAAAATTAAAATTATTGAGTAAATTAAATTATTTTAATTATTTTAAAATTATTTAATTATTTTAATTGTTTAATTATTATTTATTAATTATTTAATTATTTATTTATTTTATTATTTTTTCAAAATTATTTTATATATATATATATTAGTTTTGTTTTACAGTTTTTTTTTTATATCTTCCTTTCTTTTCTCACTCTTAATGCAGTCATTCCTGAGTCCATTTTAAGTTCAGGAAATGATCCTCACTATTAATCAAAGCCCTTGTGCTCCTTCGGCTCCGCTGCTGTGGATGGGAGTGTATGAAGTAATTACGTCTTTTCCCCTGCGCTCTGTGACCGCTCTAGCCTGAAATGCGGTCTGCAGTCGCCGCTTTTACATGGCCAATTTCCCACGCTGCCACATCACTGGCAGCACAAACCCTGGTGGCTTGAACCTCCTGCCAGCATTTGGTTCACTTATCAAGATCTTGTCTCTAATTCTGAATAATATGCAAATGTCCTCAATATTTCACTTGTGTGATGTCGGTTGAAAGCATTTAGATATCCCAGGTATGCGGTCCCTCAACCCCCCCACCCCCAAAGTACCGAGAGAGCAATTTCAAGCTCTTATCAGCCTGCTGTATTTGGACTGGGTGGTGCACTGGGCACTTTGGGGGACATTACAAACCACGCTCTGTCTTTATAACCCTCCTGTTTGCCGAGCTATCCCACTCAGCCTAACAACAAAACCTCACCTCCAATTGGAGACCTGCATCTAATGAGTGTAGTCTGAGCAGCTGGCCGGCACCTTTATCAGGTGCGTCTGTTTGTCGGCCAGCGGGTCACGACAGGGTCACCTGCCTCTCCCTCTCCAAAGAAAGAGTAAAAACACCCAAAACAATACGAAAATGTCGGTTACAATGGAAAAGAGCGCACAGGGATGAGGTATATATTTGGTCAGGTGTGGCTGATAAGGACATTCCACCCTCGCAGGATTTGTTCACATTTCATACGGAATGCTTATGTGACCATTTCCTGTTTCGCTCTTTATTTTGCAGTGTCCGCTGCAGGCCTGGTGAGCGTGTACACCTGACTTCCTCGATGCCTAGCAACAGGAGCACATCGTCCTTACCTCCATTCTCCCTCATCGTGCCCGTATCTGTGGCAACCCATAATAAGTGCTCGCGGCACATTGGATGAGGAGTTTGTCAATAAACCAGGGGCTGCGGTGAAGGGCAAGACTCACAAGACCGAACACTGTCGGGTTGTTCAAGAAGTCTGGCAATTCACGGACGACCAACAACGGTACAAACTTTAGTGACGGTATTTTCCTTCTCAGTGATGGACGAACCATATTAATGAACATGGGTGATCCTGAAGAACAAAAAGATGGTCAGACAAAGCTACAGATACAAAACTGCACCAGAAAGGAGTGTTCCTGGAATAAGAGCACAATATGTTTCTAGATGTGCTCAGTGAACTGTGTGAAACAATGACAATCAGCCAATGAAGCATCTGGAAGCTTTTATGTAACGTATAACTGTGATGCAAAAACGTCTTCCTTTAAATCTGAATGCTCAGACAATGTTCTGTACAGTTGGATGTAAATACAAGCAATTATTATGAAGGATATAAATATTTGATAATCCATGTGGTGTGCTTTTATCTGTCTAAACATGTAAACTGTGATTTAGGATGTGACAATCTAAGGAACAGGTATGACGTATTGGAAGAGTGTGCAGTTTCCAAAGGTTAAAAGTGAGGTAAATGTTAAAGCACATTCAACAAAACCTGAACCTATCGATCTAACTTTAAATCTGGTTTTAAAATAGACGCTACTGTCAATGTTGACTATTTGCGTTGGTGTCGTCAGATAGATAAGACTCATCTTTCAGATGGAGGAACTCAGTATAACAGACTCCCATCCAACGAATTCTGGATTCATTTTATGGTCGATCAGAGAGACTGATAACTCTTATCCGCATAGCCGGTCACCATCTTTGTGATACCGAAGGGAACGGCCATGAATCATGACGACGTGCCTTTCTAATCTAAATATTGATCTACAATCAAACTGTCATTGTCATGTTGGAGAGATATGTGAAAAAGAGCGTCCTGTTGAATTGGTCTGTTATTGGACTGTGTAATTGTTATCAGTAGGAATACTGATTTTTTTCATGAAAGTTCGCCGTTCGCCATTTCGAACAGTATTATTTGCTCACACACAACTCTGAACTAACAGGAAGCATTGTGAAATAGTTTTTATTGTGGTGCTTTACTGGTCCATGAAATGAAAACTGACAATGTCATTTTGGTAAACTGAAGAAACTAGTACAAACGTCCCGTTTTAGTCCCATCTGAGAGTTTGAATACTTGTCAAAAGGTCACTTCGATGTTCTTTTTTAATGTTGTTGACTATGTTCCCACTGCCAGTTGACCTGAGGTTACAGTACTGGTTTATTCTCCCGTTTATGCTGGATTTATACAAAATGTGATTCTTTCCACATTGTATTATTTTTGTATAAAATGAAATCAATCTTTTAAAATCACTATTTATGCTTTACATAAAAAAGTTTCAAGTAAAGTTTTTTTTGCTCAAGATTGATAACAGTGGTCTGTCTCTGATTTGAAATGTGAAAAAATTCCGTATTTCTTACACATTTCCTCATACTGAATATTATAGTGTAGTATTTGCCAAGCTACAGTATTATAAATTTTACTGTTCTTTGCTTAGTTTTTTCTTTTGAACACAATGATTTTTATGACATGGGTGTTAGGAATGTGTTTCCGTTCAACAAGGGCCCATTACCAACCAACCCCTCCTTCCTGCGCCAAGCACTATCTGCCTTGTTAAATCCCATACACTTTATAGGACACGTGACTTATTCTGTGGTGTTCTTAAATATTTTTAGTTTGGACAATATTTTGACGATTTAAGTCCAGGTGCTTCCCATTCATTTCAAATATGTTGTGTTTTGTATGTTGTTCAGCAGCGTGAGAGAGGATGGAGTGCATGTTTGGAAGAAAACCTCCCTGTTGCTTTTTGTTTTCCTCCTACAGGTCTGAAACAACAATTTTTAAAATTCCCCACATGGCTATTACTAAACAACTTGGAGGATGAGCCGCACATTGTTGATGGAAACGAAACTCGTGCCAATGCCACACAGAGTGAGTGACCATGTTTTTGCTGTAGGGTAAAAAATGATTTGTAATCACAACATTTTTTCATTTGTCAAATCAACTTAAATAATTTATGTAGTTCAGATAGCATAATATTTTGAGTTTCTGGTGATTAAATCAATCTCATTCATTGTATTAACTAATTTTTTTCATTTCAATGAACTTAAATTTTGAAGGCAACCAGGTTACTTCATTTTTTAAGTTAAACCAACAATATATATTTTTTTAAAGTGCATGGGAAAACATGATGGCTCCATGAAGGCAATAGACTAGGCTAGGCGGTTGTACTTAGGTGGACTAAGGTATAGGCCTACTTGCGCACAACATTTATTTAGTTTACATGGGTCTATTTTAATAAAACAAGAAAGTGGTGTAGCTTAAGTGATAGTCTTCTGTTTTTATTTAATGAACGTCTTGTTAATCATGCCTACATTTGGTCTCGGTTTGTAGAGATTACTTTATATTTTGTTCTAGTGACACTCCAGTATGAATAAAAAAACTGTAATTGAGTGTTTATGGGAATATGTACATTTCAGGCAGGTCATGACCTCTGACCCTTTTGTTTTTTTAACCATGTTTTTTTTTGTCATCTTATAAATTACATTTTTATTACCTTTTGGAGAAAAATATTGGATGTTTCAAATATGTTTTGAATATGACCAACAATTAACGTGTTGACTACGTAATTCCATAGCCAGCATTTTGCATTTCCTAAATACACCAAATTAAATAATATTTTTACACGTTTGAAGGGTTATAGTATGACTGGCAAGGATGACCAATAAAAATAAGTGATATTTGCAGATGTTTCTTTGTTTTCCTCAAACATCACATCTCTGACACCGTTGTCTCCTTGATCACCAACTTAAAAAAAAAAACTTTATTACGGGAGAAATTGTTGGAAATTACATCCTAGATGTCACAGACAGCCCCATTTTTGTATAAAACAATTAAATATGCACATATATAATAATGCCATTAAAATTAGTTAATGTCTTTGAAGACATTAATGTCTTATATATGTTAAGACAGTAATGTCTTCAAACAAAGTTAATGTCTTTTGAAGTTTCAGCATCATTACATCAGCCTTCTGTGTTATGATCCTTCAGAAATCATTCTGATGCTGTCTTGCTGCTCAAAAAACATTTTCTATTATTATCAATGTTGAAAACAGTGTAAGACATTTGAACTTTTAGCAGAAATAAAAATTGTTTTTAGAGACACCTTAAAGCACATTGAGTAATTCTCTAGCTTGATGACGTGCTAATAGCAGCTCTGTAGCAATGTTACCTTCAAAACTTTTTTTTTATTATTATTTTTTTCAGTTGAATGTGCCTCAAAGACACTCATGGAGTTATGAAAGAGAGCGTCCTGCTGGGTATACACTTGTAACCCAATGATGTCGCCCTGTTTGGTTATCAATGAGGCCTTTGATTTTGCTCCCAGGGAGCCACTAAAGATCTTACTGCTGCTCTCTTTTACTGCGCTGGCCTGAAAAGAGCAGAGAGAGAGAGAAATGCTTATTAGCATTCTGAGGAGGTGCTGACTTAACAATGCAGTCAACAACAATAATTATAACCATTGTATTAGTTCAATTTACGGCCAGCGCTGTAAAAGCTGGCCTGTAATTCTTGGCAATGGAAAAAATACAATAAAGTGCTAATATTGGTGGAATGACTTCAGATTTATGATGTTAAATGTGATGTATTTTGTGGTATTGTATAGCGAAACAATTACAGACTTTATATGACCAATATTTAGCTGATTATTACTTGATGGTTTGTCAAAATGCAGGGGAGAGTGGGGTAAACTGTGCTACTTTTTGTCACATGGAAGATGAAATGAGATGTATAGAAGGAAGTTTTTGTCATAAAATATCACTCATGTGCATCTTTCAATCACAGGCAGTTGTGTTTCATTTTCAGTTCAAACATATAGACTGGGCCTTCGTTTCCGAAAGGGACTCAGAGGTCAACACAAGAGCAAGATGGACACACAGAGAACATAGAGATGGGACAAAGGGACAGAAAATGGAAGTTACAACCTGAATGTTGCTGTGTGTTTAGTGGTCAGAAGAGAATGGGCACTACATCAACTCCAGCTGGGCCCCAAAGGGTTTTAATGGGCAGGAGAACCCAGCAGGGGTCAGAGGTCAGGAGGCCAAACTCTTCCAGGGCTAATTGGTAACATTGTGTCAAACTGAGATCAAAATTCGCCTTTGAAGTTCTGAATCTGAACAGTGTATAATACGCTTGGAAATTTTATTATATAAGGTAATAAAACATAATATAGACCTTATGTAGCCCCGCCCTTTTCAGCGCTGCGCTCGTTGTCTTTTGACTTCCGGTCTGTGGTATTTTCACAGCGATCTTGCAGTATGAATGGACTGCTTGTAAAAAAAAAATTCCTGGTCAACATTTGTTAAGACATCTGCTTTACAATGCTTATGATAAACATTACAAAGCTCATGATAACTTTTGTTAACTCTACAATAAGCAAATCCACTTAACCAACTTCTCGACAGCAACCGCAAAACCGGAAGTTCAAAGACAATATTCTAAAGATAACTGCGCCCACGTTTCTCTGGTGCATAAGGTATAAACAAATTCCATAGTATAAACTGTGAACTATTTATATATATAGATATATATATATATATATATGAAGAGTTCAGATGCAAAAGCCTCTAAATGCCATTTGAAACTTTCTTCTTTAATGATGATTTTTATCAAACTTGTATATTTAAGTTCAGTAATTTCACTTAAATAACAATTAATAGGTAATTATCATTGCCATTTAAGTGAAATTACTGAACTTATATATACAAGTTTGATAAAAATCATCATTAAAGAAGAAAATTTCAAATGGCATTTAGAGGCTTTTGCATCTGAACTCTTCATATATATATATATATATATATATATATATATATATATATATATAGTTATATAATTTATAACTATATAATTTCCAACACTTTTGATTATTTAAATAAATAGTTATGTTTTGTATTCATTGTTATTCATCCAGTCTTCAAAAAAGGAAAAAAAGAAAAGAAAAAGGAAACAACAAACTAGAAATTCACAAAGTTCATAAATTCAGTTCATAAATATCCAAAACACACAGTCAGTGAATACATCATAAACAGCTTAATGGCTTGACAGGCTGACAGTAGCTGGAAGACTTGAAGCAAAGGTGGCAGAGAGGAATAAAAATGTCATTATTAATCACATCATTGTTCTGCATCTATTGAGGGGAAGCACATTGCATTCAAAATACAATGATAGTGAAATCCTCACAGATGAGAAACATGAACAGACATTTTCATGACCCCACACACGCCGTGAAGGAATTCATCATTCCTGCCTGTGTGATCCTTTGGTAGTTTATTGATCAATTCTAAACACAAGGATTTTGGAATGATAATAGATCCATTCAAGCCATTTGTGTCTAAATGGGAGTGAATGAATCCAGCCTTTCAGCTCAGAGACGAATATACAGTAAAAAGAAGTCCTGTCAGAGAGAAGTGTCCACGCTGATGCTGGAGCGGGATCCCGTGATTTATGGTGATTGGTGGGATGCTCTGAGTCACTTGTGGGTTAATGTTCACCTGGGTCACAGGGACACTGCTGGAACCTGCCTGTATTCACATCAGGCCCTCTGATGAGGCTGGCCTCAAGCTAAACCCACTACTCTCAGTGGGGAAACGGCGTCCTTCAGAGCTCCTCAATGGATCCTAATGGTAATGTAAGGTGGCTATTCAGAGAGCTGAATGGGCTTGGGTAGAAAAGAAATATCAATCTTGTCCAATGTATTAACACAGCCAAACTCAATAGCCCCCCCCCCCCACCCCCCTTTTCCATACTATTATTCAAAATCAAAATAAATGAATAAAAAAAATACTGTAATACTGTTTTCTTCCTCTATTCAGTTTAACTGCCCTAATGACTGATGATAATCAAGTAAATATGACATTAGCGATTCATTAGAATTTTAGTTTATTTTACAGCCAATGTATTTTCACAAAAACACTTGGCATAATCCTGTAGTTTCATCTAATTAAACATAATGAATACTGAACACAAATAATGTGAGGAAAATATCTGGGGACAGTGTCCAAGGACATTTTTAAAGGATTTGAGGCACAAACAATTATTTAATTTCCTGTCAAAAATAAATTCAAAATAAATACATTTAAAAAATCAAGCAAAATGTGCATTTATGCAAAATGTGCATTTATCAAATAACTAAATTTAGTAGCCTACAAAACTAGACCCTCCTAAGCAACATGATTGTATGTTTGAATGTTGTTGTAAATGTGGCCTATGTTTAATTAGTTTTACATTTTATAAACATTGCCTACTTTATTTACAGTTTATTGCTAAAATACCAAGATCACTCTAGGGTTATTATAGTTTACTAAAACCAAAACCATAAAAAACACCTAACTTTGCTTTAGGCTATAGGCCTACTTGAAATCAATTAAACATGAACTTATATCAAATTCAATTAAATATATAAAAACTGAAAACTATTTTATTCCTGCTATAGTTACCAGGACAATATTTGATGAACTAAAATAACAAAAACTAAAATTAAATAAAAATAATAATAAAAAAAAATCTATATAAAAAAGACTAAACTACTTTAATTAAAATGGAAAATATGAAATAAAACGAATAGGCTACGAATTATTAATAAGAACAATAATAGTATATCAATGATATAGTATAACACTGGACCAAACATCTGGATTTTAAATTGTATTTAGTCAAGTTCCAAATTTTGATAACTGGGCTGCAAGTGCAAATCTCATCCAAAAAATAAAAAAAATGGAAATTAAATTGAAAATAAAAATACACTAATAAAAATTAAATAGAAAGTAGAAGAAGACTAAAGAAAAAAAAAAAAAACGTTTCAGCCCCTATTTTGTATCCTGTTCGTGGAGGCATTGACGAAATTGACGTTTAGCTTTAGCGCCCCCTGGGAAAATCACTGTCTACGACATCTGGAACAAATATACGGACAGTAGGGACAAATACTACAATGGCGCCATCGCCTGTGCAATTATAGGAACTGCAATGAGCGCAGGTTGTCGAACATGAGCAAAACCCTTTTTTTTCAGTCTATGGCAAAAACTGTGCTATTGTATTTACGAATGATAATAACGTGTAAAAATACAAACTATACAACAATTGAAACATACAAATGAAAGTTAAAAGGACTAAAGTTTATTATTATATTATATAATAAATAATTTTCAAATTGTAACATGAAACAAAAAAAGTTGTAAATAAGTAAATAAAAAGTAATGAAAATAAATGCGTCAGATGAGGTGACGTAACTGGTGGTGTGACCCCGGAAGTGGCGCATGTCTGTTCTCGCCGATGACGTCATTTCATTGAGCTGTTTAAGATGGCGCTTCGGCCCGGAACAGGGGGAGGCGGCAGGTACATAATTTCATATTTTAATGCTTTGTTATTCATTTCTATCTACATGTATACGCTTTCTGAAGTCAGTATGTGATAATTCACGTGTCTGTTTGAAAATTAATCCGTTGATCCCGCAGTTTCACTTTATTCAGCAGCGTAACGTCTGGGGTGTAAGCTGAGTCTGATCAGCTGTGATGGTGATGTGACGTTTGTCATACTGCATCAGTATGATCATCCGTCACATTCATATTCGTTTCTTTTTCTTTGCCATACACGTGGATACATAACGATATTGATGTCCAAACGTTATTAAATCGCTTGTCAGCAGACTGACTAACATCCAGAAATCGATTTTTATTGGCCTCGTCTCAAAACCTTGTGAACTGCCCTACCTAGACTGAAATGTTTGCAGCACTGTCCACCTTCAGTTTATATGTATAATAATACAACTATTAAAACATACAAATGTATTAATGATTTTATACATTGAATCTTTCCCCTCTTTGAAATGGTTTAACTTCATATTGTCATATGGACAATAAGTCAGTAGAAATGATAACGTTACATGGTTAATGAACCTTGAGTACGTAGGCTTACAAAATGACAACGGTATACTGAAAACGATTAAAATTGCTGTATTGTGCAATGCTAGGCAAGTAGTTAGCGATGTCAATTTTAATAGAAAAATTACACTAAAGACTCAACACGTTATTATACGCATGTGCATGACGTCGCTTTTCACAAATGAACGTTTTTGTTGTTTAAACTTTACACGGAGAATTTTCGAAAAAGCAACTTTTTCATATTGTGTGGATTCAAATAATAACTTTCACCTGTGAAAATTTGTGAACAACAGTAAGTGTAACCCCTGAGGGTTACACTTACTCCATAGCTAAACTGTTACCCCTCCATAGCTAAACTGTTGTTCAGTGAGTGAGTCAAATGTTGGTTCAGTGAGTTAATTCATTTTCATTTGTAAAACTTTCTCAGTTTGGTAACTACAAATTCTGAGAGTATTTTAAGAACTGTCCCATAAGAGTCATTTTTTTTTCTTGAGTTGGACTACACTGTTTGTTGTGTATGTTTGGTTTTGTTCAATTCAAAGCGATGGACCAAACGATCAGAGCGTTTTAGTGTGCCCAAATATTGTATTAGAATTGTCCATTCTGACCAAATACATGATTTCTTTATTGATGTCCAGAATATTTTTTTAACATTTCAATTAATCCAAGAAATGTGGATATACAAAACTTACTTGTCTGCACAAATGCATTGGAAGTGTGATTCAAATAAAATGCTGTAATAATATTAATGATAGAGAGTGATATTCATTGTTTGCTGGTACCTGTTATACATGTAAGATTCTGCAATGTTTTGGTATTGACTATATCAAAGTTAAAGGAATTGATAGACCAAACCATAGCCACCCTGATGACCAGCATGATGAATGTTTGGAGATGAGACATCAGGTACCTGATGTGGATCTGGTGACTTGACAGCTCTTGGGCTATATATATTCATAGTTGCTGCTTTTCACGTTGCGTGTAGTTTTCTGTATCAACAGAGTATCGCCCTCGTGGGTGTCATTGAGCTTACAAATATTGATATCGGGCCAGTAAGTCACTTTAAATATTCTAAAGTTTTTACAAAGTAGAGCACATAGCTGTCAGACTCAGAATGGATGGAAAGTTCATGTTTTATTTACCTAAAGGGCTTTAGTCTCTGCTGAACCACTTGAATAATGAATGTCTAGTTTCAAACAGGGCAGCATCAGGTAATACTGATACCTGCTGTGAAACTAAATAACCACAGGGTTCTACATAGAGCTGCTTTATTTGGCAATATAATAAAAGTTCAACAGCATGCACTCAGAATTTACAGGGAAGGACTTTTGCCACTTCTGGAAGATGAGGAACAGGCTAATATGTGATGTCAGCAACCTTGTAATGCAAATTAAATGCTATTTACCTTCTAAAGCTGTATATTAAAGAAGTAAACAATGCAAAAGTTATATTTTTGGTTGATTTATATGACAGGATTCAGTAGTTTGCAGAAGCTGCCGGCCGCTCCATGAAGTTAGATCCAGTTTGGTGGCTAAAGCTGTGATGGGCATCTTCCATATGGCCGAGGCTCTCAAACAGCTGCAGTGGAGGGCAGGAGTTTATTAGAACAGGTGTAATTGTATTTTTTTTTTTTTTTTTTGCTGCCAACACCCTAAAAGATGCTTATCAGGTCTGAGAGTTCAGAAAAAAAGACTAAAGACAGCAATGTCATAGATGCAATCTGTTCTTCTGTGTGAAAGTCAGTGACTAAATAAATAAGTCTGTCGGCCCAGTGCCCAGCCTCACACAGACCCAACACAAAGGAGTTTGAGGTGTTTGACAGCTCTCAAAGTCCCATATCAATTCGGAAAGGAAGAGCTGATTATCTGTGACAACAGATAAAAAGGATTTAGGGATATTTCTAAAGCTTAAATCCCATTTAAAGTTTTGTTTGGTTGGAAAGTTGGATTGAAATGCCATATTGTAAGAGAGACTATATTTTTATCTCATATTTGCTTTTGTTTCCAGTGTCACTATCAGTCAAGTTTGTCGGAAGTGTTACTTTCAAACCCAATAGAGCATTGTAGGGATAGTTCACCCAAAAAAATGAAAATATGATTATACTCGCTCTCATGTTGTTCCAAACCCATAAAAGACTGTAATTGATACAGAAGTTTCGTTTTTGGGAGAACTAACCCTTTAACGCCCCTTGTCATGAAACCTGCGAGAAGCCATATAATATAATTTTTCAGTAATGTCACCACAGGCAATTTCTTTTCCAGTGAGTCTTTGGAAGTATTGAGTGTTACTTGTTAATTCAGTGGTTTATGATTTATCACACTTTTTTATTTTTTATTTTTTGGAAAATTTTGTTGAAAAAAAAAAATAGGAAGGAAAAAGGATTCAACACCTTTGTCTTATATTTTTTACCACATTGTCAAATTATCCTAAAATAATTATCCTGTTAAAATGTATTTATTTAAATAAAGCTAACAGCCCTAATACGTATTAATAAAAAAGAACAAAGAAACTCATTTATGAATTGAAGAATCAAAGATTTCCTAGTTTATTATGATAAACACCTTGCTATCATAGCATGAGATGGGATATTTGGTGGATGTCCAATGGGAAAACCAGCTCTTTAGTATGTCATTGGATTTTAGATAGAACTAATAGCTTATTCAAGCATTCAAATCTTTGAACTGAATATACTGGTTCATATTCATAACTTTTTAATTGTTTAAATGCCACTTGATTGTGTTGATTTTATATTGGTTTGCAAATGTATTCCTTATACCACTTTATCTTAACTGCTCTGCTCAATATATTGTTAGACTTAAGAGAGAAAATCTTGTATACACTACACTCTAAAAATGCTTGGTTATTTCAACCCAAATTTGGGTCAAATATGGACAAAGCCAAATGTTGGTTTAAAAATCTAATTTAAAAATGTACAGTTGAAAGTGAAAGTTGAAGTTGGGTTAAAATTTTGAATTATATTTTTAACCCAACATTTGGGTTTGTCCATATTTTACCCAATTTTGGGTTATAAACAACCCAGCATTGTTTAGAGTGAGATAAATGGCTCTGCATAAATTATTACACAGCCATTAATATGCTGTATCAAAGCTGTAGTTTACATGTTTCTCAAAGGCATAAATCCTGTCAGAAAAGCTTAATCTCAGGTTTCGTGGGTATAACCGTGTTTGCTCATGGATGGATGGATGTTGGCAGTAACAGTTTAAAATGGTGGATAAATGTGATCTCTCCACCCTGATAGCACAGCAGATCTCTCTTTGAATGTTAATCTGCCTTAATCCAGTGTTTTATTTTTTTTCTCTCCTCCCTCTGTTGTATCACAGTCTCTGTGAGCGCTGTAAAGCTGTGAGCCTGCAGGCAAACAGATGCAATACACACAGACAGATCGCTTTGTGCCTCAGTGGAGTGTTAACCCACATTTCAGACTATTGCAAAAGCAAACAAAACAAGGCCGACTCTCGATGAGTTACTTTTACAATTAAGTAATTAAGACCCCAAATATTCAGCTGAATATGTTTGGTTGCCAAAATGTCTGTTCTTGGGAGATGTAAAGTCACAATTTTTTATTAAACATGATGACCCATGATTGTTTTAGATTTGCTGTTGTAGGATCTTCCTCTGATCATTACAATATTTGCAAAATGTTACTTACATTTTCCTTATGGAATGAAAGCATCTATTTCTGTTTTATTGTAATGTGTTTCTGAGCTGCGAAAACAATGTAATGGAGGGCCAATACTGGAATGATTTTGATTTCCTCTGTGGGGCGATAACAGAATAATGGACTTCGGCTGTTTTCATAAAAGTTTTCTCAGTTGACTGATTGATTGGTTGCCTTTAGTCATCGCTTGCATGTGGAGGGCGATAGAGTAAAGACGTTAGCTTGACACTGAAATGAGCTTCAGGGGTTTGAAATGAGAGCCTGGTAAATGAATACAATATTGAATGTGCCTGTCTTTTCTCTTCTAGTTTTATGTACCCTGTGGGAGGAGGTATTGGCCCACCGCAAGGTAAGCTGCTGACATTTTGCCTGTATTTAATTTGCATCTTTCCACATTAGATCATTTTGTATTGGATATTCTCCAATACAACATCTTTTATAACATTTTAAATAGATTATTTTCAAAGGTTTTACATTTGTCGTAAAAATTGACATTTTTAAACTGTTATTTAATGGCAGGAATGATGCCCATGCAGCAGCAACAGCAGCAGGGCTTCCCCATGGTTCAGGTCATGCAGCCCAACATGCAAGGCATGATGGGAATGAATTTTGGAGCACAGATGCCTGGTGCCATGCCAATGCAGGTATGTTCTGTTTCTAACAGACTTTTGAAATGTCTAAGACATGCTTTAACAATAAAAAAATGTGGACTTCAGAATCGTTAGATGTCCTAAATATCTTTCTCTAGGGTGGGATGGCAATGGGAATGCAGACTCCCGGGATGCAGTTCATGGGTCAGCCTCAGTTCATGGGCATGAGGGGCCAGGGGCCACAGTTCCCTGTGGACATCCAGAAGCAGATGGCGGAGGAGCATCAGTAAGGCTTTACATATTCCCGCTGCCAGAAAGTTGTTCGCATGCCAGAACTCGCTTCTGATTAGTGTGTGTCCATAGAAAACGTCTGGAGCAGCAGCAGCGGATGCTGGAGGAGGATCGAAAGAGAAGACAGTTTGAGGAGCAGAAACAGAAACTGCGTCTACTGAGCAGCGTCAAACCCAAAGTGAGCGGGTCAACATGACATAAACAAATGATCATATTTACTTTCTAAATAGTAGGCCTGTGGTGACTAGTAATATGCAATGATGATAAAAACAAAGTGATGCTTTTAAATTTGAAATTAAAACCGCCAGTACACTGTAAAAAATATTGATGGTTTAACTTAAAAAAGTAAGTAACCTGGTTGCCTTAATTTTAAGTTAATTGAACTAGAAAAAGTGAGTTAATACAATGAAGGAGAATGATTTAACCATCAGAAACTCAAAATTATATGTTATCTGAACTAAATAACTTATTTAAGTTGATTTGACAAAAGAAAAAATGTTGTGATTACTACACTGTAAAAAATTTTTGCTTTAACTTAAAAAAGTAAGTAACCTGGTTGCCTTAAAATTTTAAGTTGATTGAACTGGAAAAAGTGAGTTAATACAATGAAGGAGATTAATTTAATCATCAGAAACTCAAAATAATAAGCTATCTCAACTAAATAAATTATTATAAAGTTGATTTGACAAAAGAAAATATGTTGTGATAACAAATCTTGAAAACATTTTTTACAGTGTAGGTGACGGCAAGTCACTCTCTTTATGAGTGAGTCATTGAATCAGCTTTTCAGTAACGAAGTGGCTGTAATTTGTTTTAGCTGGAAAAACCAAACTCTGTTCAGGCCAATCACATCGTTTATAGAGTCGGTGTGCGGGCTTAACATAATGACGACAGTCACAGGGTTGGGACGGTTCACTGCTACTTGAAAAACAAAGAATGGCTGCTGCTGGTGAACAGCTATATCTTTCGATTTGGCTTTGACTGCTACTCTGGATGATTTGAACTTATGCTTTTCTTTGAAAACAGAACAAAGAACAGCACTTGCGTTGTCATTTAAAAAGATGTGTTCGGAGTTTTGCCGACTGGATACAATAAAAGTTTAATATATCAACTTGCTCCGCTGGTGGGAAAACGCATGGGACTCAGCCGTCACCTTCCTCGTTGCTCTGATTGGTTGTAGCGCTATCCAATTGCGTGCAGAGAGAATTTGAAAGACAACCGTTTATCCCGCCCCTCGGATTGAGCCCTGTCAATGATGAGTTCCCAGACCTAACGTCTTGATGTAGGTCTTGCATGCCATGAATGATTGAATCTCACTATTTGTTCACAAACACTGCTGTGCTATTGTTTTTTTGCAAAAATACTGACAATAATGTGTTTAAAATGAACATAACTTAATATTAATAACTCTCGTTTGATGAAATGTTGTATAAAATCAATGTCAAATTTGCAGTTGTGTGGATCAACATTAAACGTAGGAATTCACACAAGGTATGTTTTTGTATCGAAGAGAGTTTGAATCTTAAATCTATCTTTATGTGCAGTTTGTGTCTATATAGTAAGTGCTAAATTCCTACTTTTACAAAGGTACTTTGTCGAGAACAGCAGTATAGTGTGATTCGCCAAGGCAGCATAATCTGCACGCAACTTATCATATACACACTGCTTGTGTAAGTGCAGTCAGGTTTGACCGCAAAAAAATTAGGTAATTTTGTCATCAGATGTCTTGTATTTACGGCATTTTACCTGCTAGAAACACATGCTCAGTTTTAATGTTATTTTAAGTTGGGGTAGAATTAAATGAATAGCACTTTTTTGCGTATTAGGTTCAATCTGTCTGATTGAACCTAATCATGATTATTGTCCACTTTATATTCCAGTCATAAATTGGCATCCATATAAGTTATATGATGGACAATATAGCTGCAGGAGAAGTTGATTAAAATAATAATGAGTTATTATTGGTGCTATACCACTGTCTGTCTTACTCTATTCTTTTTCTTGTAAATCAACTCCTCCAAATTTCTATTTTTGTACAGACTGGGGAGAAGAGTCGTGACGATGCCTTAGAGGCCATCAAAGGAAATCTGGATGGGTTCAGCAGGGATGCCAAGATGCATCCAACACCGTCTTCACAGTCTAAGAAACCAGGTACATCCAGTGACACGTTCCAGCTGCACGACCGCCTTCCGGCCATTTGCCTTTCATGCCCCTGCTCATGACGTCAACAGCTCAGACATCTTTTGACAAAGCCAGAGCGGCCTTTCAAGAGCTAAAGGACATTACCAGGGACACACTGTTAAAGGGATAGTGCATCCCAAAATAAAAATCCTGTCATCATTTACACAGGGCTGCCAACTATCACACGTTCAGCTTGAGACTAACGCAATTGACCCAATTCTCACGCTGAAGTGAAACCCGGTCGGTCAAATGCCTGAAAAATGAGTTTATCTGTTGACCTACCTGTTGAGCCACTCGTTATCGACTAGTTATACGCCAAATTAGGGCATGGATGCATGAGGCATGGATGAGGCATGGATGTATCTAATACAAATAAAACATCTCCAGTTAACTAGCAGAGCATTAATTTAGTTCGCTCTTAAATAAGAGATCTAGTGCTAAAAGATTTTGTTTTTCAAATCAAGGTAATCACTTGCCAATCAAGCTTGCCACTGCTGGCAGTTGCATGGATACAGTGTTCTCTGTGGCTCACTTCAGTCTTCACTATGTATATATATATATATATATATATATTGGACTGTCATGAGCGTGGGTAAATGATGACAGAATTTTCATCCTTTAAAAGCATTTCTGCTCTCTCAATACAAACACACCACACCTTTTTCATTGAGCCAAACAGCTGTTTTCTTCCCAGCAGCCACCAGGTGGCTCTCCAGATTGGAGAGTGTTTGCTGTTTCCTCATCCTCCATATAACACATCCTCCACCTTCACATTCTTGCAGTTGGACCCCTCACACCTACAACTTAACATCACAATGTTTCTGGTTAACCGTTTTTTTGTAAATCTTTTAATCAGAGTCCAGAATTAACTTTTGGCCACCCCTGCAATTTGCAGGTGAATCGGAAAAAATAAATGGTCAAAAATATTTATCGCTGGCTAAAAAAATTCTGTTTCAATTATTTAATGAGAAGTTTGGGGTCAGTAAGATTTTTTTTAAGGTTTTTTAATGTTTTTATAGTGTCTTATTCTCAGGCTGCATTTATTTGATTAAAAAATACAGTAAAACAGTAAAATTGTATAATACAATTTAAAGTAACTTTTATATATATATATATATATAAAAGTATAAACGTAAATTATTTCTGAGATGACAATGTCTTTACTGTCTCTTTCAAACAATTTAATGCATCCTTGCTGAATAAATGTATTATTTATTTTAAGAAAAATGTACTGATCCAAACTTCTGAATTTGTTTTATTTATTTATTTATTTATTTTTAGTAATTGCATGCATGTCATCAGTCAGGTCAGATTGTCGTTCTTAATACCTACAATAATAAAGTAACTTTTAATAACTCACCAAAGCCAACTTTGACGCTGATTTGGGATGAACGTTCACATCCAGTTTTATATTGTTAATGTGACATATTTTTGAGCAAAACAGGTCAGGATATTAAATGAAAAAATGTGGGCCGTAATTAATTGGATGGTGAGAAGTCAATGTTCCATAACAGAATGCAGTCAGAATGAGACTCTGCTAAAAGAATGCTCTTTTGTATAACATCATCCATCAGCATGGATGGCCTTAGTGATGTTAGCGGAAAAGAAAAGACGAGCATTTTCTTTGGAATAACATTCACCGGTGAATCATTCACAGCAAGACTAGAAATGAGTGTCAAGTAAATGAATAGGATCAATTTTCATTTTCATTTTGGACCCTGTCAGTAGTTGTTTATACATTTTTTCATTTTAGTACAACAATTCAATTTCCATTGACATTTGCATTAAAATGTTGAGTTTGCATTTAACAGCAGCACCACGCCTAATGAAATTCAGTACCTTCCTGTGGTTTGTAAAACTGTTTCTCTTTTTTTTTGTGTGGTCATAACTCATGATGTGTGTTGTCTGTCTCACTCTCTTGTTTGGTTTTTGCAGACTCATCGCCATCTCATACCTCTGTCACCTCTCATTCGCTTCCTCCTGCTTTCCCCGATGACGACGATGAGTTTAGTGACTTTGTGCAAGGCCCCGTTGATGCCTCCTCTTCTTTCCCCACTTCATCCCTCCCTCCGTCCTCCCCTTCACTAAGAGCCGCTCAAGTTAGCCAGCCATTAGAGTTGGGGCCTGGCCAGCATCCCCCTTCATCTCCCCTTCCTCACACTGTCCCTTCATCTCTCTCTGTCTCACCTGTCATCCAACACTCTTCTGTCATCTCCAGCTCCCAAACTGCATTCCAAGGTAACGCCCCTCTTACATTCGCTCTTTTTCATCATACCATCACTTGTTAAACCCAGGGGTCAGATGCCATAACTACACAACTTGAGGGCCGTTAACACAGAACGCTTTTTTCCAGTGTGCTACTTTTCCATAGTTTTTCTATGTAAACGCCTGATGGACGTGTATGACCATTATGCTCATGTATCGCATCTATTGCAGCATCTCACACATGAGCGCCGCGTTTTTAAGACGCCGTGTCACTTTTACACACAGAGCTACAATGTCAGTTCCAAAACAGTGGACCAATCAGAAGACTTTGGAGGCTGGGGAAGCGTTGCAACATTTTGTGTACTATACAACTGTTTTATTTGACTGCAACTAGCTTTAACTCTTGATGGTATTCCCTGTATTTAAATCTGCATCAGAGGATGGGGTGAACCAAAATGGATCTCGGTCCTGGCGTTGTCTGACACAACAGCTTGTGCAATTTATTTTCTTTTTTTCCCCGTGTAAAAAATAGTATCTTTCTATTGAGCTATTTTTGTTATTGCATCATCTTGAATCGCATCTTAAAACCCTGCTTTTTTAAAAACCATTCCTGAGAGCTGCATCTCACGTTTTTAGATGCAAAGACATGTTTCGTTTGAACCGCCCCTCAATGTTTGTTTCTCCGTTGTAGGCCATTTGAAAGTTTCGGGTCGATTGAAGTCTCTTATTCTCACCAAGACTGCACTTATTTAATCAAAAAAAGTGTCATGTCATATTGTGAAAAAATATTATTACAATTTAAATTTAATATCTTTTAAAATGTGTGTGAATGAGTTGTTCTTTTGACCTGGTGTTTTTCAGTGAGCTAGTTCATTCCGTTCTCAAACCAGTTTTAATATCGAACGATCATTCCACTTTCACAGCTCATGTCATGGGCTCAGAAAAAAAGTTGTGTACTGAAAGTTGGGTTTGTATGCGCCAGCCAAGCAACTCTTATTGAAATGAATGTGAATGTTAACACATACCCTTCTCCAGTTCTTTAGGACCTTTTTGCCCATAAACGCTAGCTTGCTGTGTTTCTTGACTTAGAGTCAAAAGTCTGTCTGGGTTTCTGATTCAGATATGATGGTCACCATCTGTGAGATCTGCACAGTGATTCTGACTCAACCGTCACCTCCCTTCAGTTTTGTCAGGTTGCAGATGGTGTCCCATATGCTCTTATAATTTAAACTGGAGTAATATCAGAACCCCTGTGACAGCGCCCTGATAAGGCTAAGTGAAGCCTGCATGGAAGTGTGTGTTTGAGTATTAGTGGTTCAAAACAAGTAAAACTCTACTGACAGAATTTATGTCCTGAATGTCTGTTACCACAGAAAATAATTTAATTTGGACTAGAGCATATCACAGACTGTGGCTTAATATTTTGTGATATTAGCACAATATTAAAGGCATTTAACATTTGCCAGACAATTATATCATGCTTAAACATTTCTTGTTTCACCCCAATGAAGCTGTTTTCTCATTTACATTGGTTACTTACCTGGCTCGCTTAGATTTTTTATCAAGTGAAGTGAAGCGGTTTAGTCATAGTTGGACATTATCTGTTCCAAAACCCAGTTAGCTTTCTTGTTGTATGCTTTCTTAGGCAGCCTTATCCCTCTAATTGAACATATCTTGTATACGGTGACTTTGGATGGAACTGTCAGCGACTTCTTGTACATATGCAGTCATGATTGGTACTCATGGTTAAAATATAAGTTTCAACAGTTCAATATGGCCTCTGTTCCTAACTGATTCAGGCCCTTCTCTGGAGGAGAAGATGTTCTCATCATGCGATTTGACATCTGATAAGAAGGCCCAGGTTAGTTTTAAGCCACGACAGGCTCTGTCTGAGCTGAGTCCGAGAGCTCAGGTCACAGCCCAGTTTCACAGCAGTGCCAGATCCCGAAACTGGGCCCAAACCCAAGATGACTTCAATTCAGCCTTCATGACAGGGATGCCTCCTGAGCCTCTCGCCGCAGCTCAGTCGCCCCCTGTGGCAGACAGCCCGCCTGTCCAGCCCACTAATGTCAGCGGTGAGAAAACATCCAGTTTCAGTCCCATCTCTTTTCCGAGCTTCACGAAATTAACACCGCTTGCAGCTCGAGACTTCCTGCCCTGCCTCTGTTTGCTAATCATTATGAGATGTGCTTGGTTTTAAGGGGCTGATTTCTTATCTTGTTCTTGTTATGAAAGTCTTTTATTGAAATCTTAATGTGATTATACCGAACAGTTCTCAATGAATAGCTGAAGTAAGATGAAGGATTTGGTTACTTGGATGTCTATGGTAATGCTAAGCCAAGGCATTAAACTGGAGAAAATGCATTGGCCTTTGAAGACAATCTGCTCTTGAGCATGAAATATGTGCAAAGACTAATGGGAAAGTAGAATAAGATAAAGATTACTAAAGATGACTTAATGAAAATCTCAGCTGGATGAAGAAATCTTCTGAAAATCTTCTACACTTCTTTCTGTCCTGGAAATCTTACTAATGGTGCATGTAATTTAAAAAAAAAATTGTGCATGTGCGTGATTTAACTCGTATGCTGGCCTTCATCTCTTAGCTGGGTGCTATATGTATATGTAAATATTTTTCTCCACTTCTATGCATTTTTTTCCCCCTCTTCACTCTTCCTTATTTTGCAATTTACCTGTAATGATGATTCTAGATTTTTCAGGGTAACATGTAGGGTTGGGTATCGAGAATCGAGTATCGATTGGAACCGAGACTAACTTTTCGTTTTTCCCGGAATCGTTCAAAAGTTAAAATTTCGATTCTTAGTTTTGATATTCACAGTCCGCCGAACGGAAGAAGAAACCGCTGAACAACACCAACGAAGAAGCGTCTACCGGAAGTGTTGGTATAACCACGCGAGTCGAACATGAGTACCTTACGTCGGTGTGGCTTCACTTTTCCAAAAAATAACGAAATCTCGGCAAAATGCAAAATTTGTGACAAAAGGAGTATTTTTACAGAAGGAGTATTTCCTTCAGAAAGGCCGTTGGTTAGCAAGGTTAGCTAAACTTTTTTGACCCTGCCTCTTAAAAGAATCGGAATCGAGAATCGTTAGGAACCGGAATCGAAACAAGGAATCGGAATCGGAATCGTTCAAATTCAAACGATACCCAACCCTAGTTACATGTCTGTTTAATCCAGGGGTGTCCAGTCCTGCTCCTGGAGGGTCATCTTTTTGCAGAGTTTAGCTTCAAAAATCTTGCTGGTCATTTCTGGTAATCCTGAATACTTTGATTAGTCTGTTTGATTAGTCCTACCCTTGGTAGGAAGGTGGCCCTCCAGGTTTAGGATTGGATACTCCTCCTGGTTTGGTCTGTCAGCTGAGCTGAGCCCACTAGTTTCATTAAGGGAGGCATGTAGGATGTTTCACTACTGATGATGCTTAGTTGGTGACTTAATGGCTGTAACCTCATTGTTCTTAATGGCTGTAGCCTCTCAAAATAGGCCTCATCTGTTTGCGTAATATATATTTCACCATAGGACAGTTTTAGCATAGTGTACACATTGGCAATGCCTATAATGAGATGAGTGTCAATGCTAGTACAAAGCAAATTCTTTGTATGTTTTGTCAATCTGTTTGTCCTGCAAACTCACCAGCTCTCGGCTCAAGACAACTAAACTGACAGCAGAATCAGTGGGAGTATTTAGTGTATCTGTGCATGGTGTCAATAGTAAATCCGCAAATCACGGGATATATGCTTGATCAATCACTCTTAGCTTAATAGTCCAAAAACAACATCTCACTGTCTCCATGTCCATCACAAACAGGCGTAGGCGTCTACCCCCAACAAGACCTGCAACCCATGGTGCCAGCCTGGTTGTACAATGACTCGCTCATCCCAGGTATAAACTCTTGATATCTTTGGCTTTTGTGTCATTTTGTGGTTTTCCAAGATAAGTTTTATATCCAATGTCTAATTGCAAATGGTTGCTGTTCACAGAGTTGTTCAAGAAGGTCCTTGACTTCACCATGACACCAGCAGGCATTGACACAGCCAAACTCTACCCAATTCTGATCTCATCGGGTCTGCCACGAGAAGCACTTGGACAGATCTGGGCCTTGGCCAACCGAACCACACCTGGCAAGCTGACCAAGGAAGAGCTGTACACCGTGCTGGCTTTGATTGGAGTCGCCCAGGTAAAAACATTAGTCTGAGAAAGTCCAAAATTTCCAAAAATGGAATATGTTCATACTCTGTTAGGTGGATCTTAAGGCCAGAGGTTTGGGGTTCTCCATATCTTCTCTTGCTACCCTTGGCAGCAGTCCCCTGAATAGATACTGTAGCTCTTTCAGCAACCTAAGGGACCCTTTCAATATGAATGCATTAGTTATGCAAATTTAAAAGCTCAATACTCTTCCAGAGTCCCTGTTTTGAAAAGCAATAAAAAAGGAAAAGCTCTGGAGGATGCCAGCAATGGCATTGAAAATGGAAGTTGACTTTAATGAATATTTTAGGCAAACAAATCAGACGGCCTCTTGGCAGAGGAAGAAATAGACATCTGGATGGAGAAGGAGGTCTATTGTCTGACAGCCCTGCTTTTCAATTCTGTCTCCCTGATGAAAGACGTGCTGTAAATTCACCATTCCTGTACGAGGCTTATTAAAGCGCTCTTGTCTAATAGCTCACTAAATCATTGTTATGTGTAGGAAGAAAATCAGCTTTAATTGAGTATCTTATGTTTATAGCAGTGCCTCATACCTCAGCTTAATGACTGTTGGCAATCAGCCTTTATCAGTCGGCACTCAAAGATCTGTGCTACTTATCATTGACGAGATCAACGCTTCTTTTTATAGTTATTTGGCTTACAGGGGTGGTATGGAACCTTTAACTCCTATCCTGGAGGGCCAGTGTTCTGCAGGCTTGACTACCAATCCTAAATTTATCCCACTTGTCAGTAATTTTAAATAATTATGAAACACTTGAACCAGTTAATTAAGGTTGTTTGGATTGGGACAAAAATCTTATGTCAGACTGTTTGATATAGATCCTAGCCTAAACTTTGATCCTATCATTTTGTTGACCGCTTGTAGGAGCAGTTACACTACATAAAATTCTTGACTCTACCAGAAATTCATCAGGGTCTTAAAAAGTCTCTCTGTCACTCTTAAGCCCAAAGTTACTTCAGTTTTTGTGTACGCTAGGGTATGCGTACAGTGCACGTAGTGTAAGTTCGACCAAGTCGTCTTTTCTAGGTGCTTTCCTTCCTTCCTTCGACTATTAAACATACTCTATTGGACTGTAATTTTTAGGAAATACTGCTAAAAAAATGCTTTTATTCAGAAACATGTGTACATTGAATATTTCAGAATGCATCACCCAAATGTATTTGAGATTTTCTATCTTATGTCAAGTTTAAATGTTTTATTGAGATTTTCTGGATTGGGATATTGACCTTGTGTTTGCCACGTAAATAGCCTTGAATGCTAACATTGCGTTAAAAGTATAATAAACAAACAAACAACTGACCTGATGTGACCTGATGTACAAAATTGTGGCCAAATAATATATAACGTGAACCTGGTTTAATCTGCTTTGAATGATTTTGAATTGGTTATATATTATGGTTGTATTCTCCAGAGTGGTCTTACAGTCATGAGTTTGGACATCCTGGGTCAGTTCCCCTCCCCGCCTGTGCCCAATCTACCCGCCATGGCTATGGCTATTAATGCTGTCCTGCCTCAGCACCAGCAGCCTATCATGACCCAGCCACCCGTGTCCATGGCCATGCCTGTCACTGCGCCACCTGTCATGGGAATGACCCCTAACCCGGCTGCACAACCACCAGCCACTTTCATCACCAACTTCCCTCCAGTTCAGGTTAACATTAGACACTTTATTACATACAGTATACTAACTGTGTGCTGTTATCACAAAACTGATTGATTGTTTCGTTGGCTTACTTCAGGCTACCAAGCCTGATGACGATGATTTCCAGGACTTCCAGGAAGCCCCCAAAGCTGGAGATGACTCATTCACAGATTTCCAAGGAGAGACAGGGGGAGTGTTCCCCAGCATGAAATCATCATCCCAGAGCTGGTACGATCGCCGCTTTTCGTCAAGCTGAGTTGTGGCATATTTTTGCATGCCTCTTTTATACATAATGCAAACAGCTTGGAGAAATGCATTGTAAACAGCATCCTGTCGTTCTCTTTAGTAGTTTTTCTGATATTGTTTTTATGCTCTGTTGATTCTTCCAGAGTCTGGTTGCTCATCTGGAGCATGGAATCACGCTCTGCTTTGTAATAGCTTGTAATAACCTGCCTGGCGCAACAATTAAACCATGCTTTCTTTTTTTTAATGAACCCATTTCAATGGACAGCTAATAATCTCATCCCATTTTATTTCTATTCACATCTGAATGATTTTATGCTCCCAGGGAAAAGACGGGGAAAGGCAATTATGGAAAGCAGGGATTGAGAGGTTGGAAAGTGTATTGGCTGAGTGCGGCGGCCTTTACCGGTCGATCAGCCTCACTAAGCACAAAAGATCCGTTGTTTTAGTAGAACTTGAGCTGAAAGTACATACTTTAATGACCATAGAAAATTAGCTTGGTGTTACTAAATTTGAAATACAATACATTTAAAAATAAATATATTTAGCTTTAACTGTTTTCAACATCGATTTGGTGTTCAAGAAACATTCCTTATTATCATATTAAAATGATTTCTGAAGGATAATGTGACTGAAGAAGACTGGAAGTGCAGTTCCTTAAAAAAATATATTTTAAAAATCTTACCAACCCCAAACTTTTGAACGGAAATATACATGCTTTTTAGTTGAGACATACTATCACTGAATTGTCTAATCAGACATGCATTAATAGCACAAACTCTCTGCATTTATGTGTACACATTAAGCTAAATCTATTATTTTAAATTGAGAACTCCTTTCTCAAAATCTAATCGATATAGTGTATCTGTCAAATTTTTTTTTTATTTGGGACACTAAATCCCTGTATAAATCCTTGTAAAAGCACATTGATCTTTTTTTTTGACTCGTGTATGTTTTGTCTACTTCATACAGTGTTCCTGCCATGCTCACTCCAGTGTCAGGATCTTCATCCTCCTCCTCCTCTGATAAATATGCAGTGTTCAAACAGCTGTCAGTGGAGCAGCCTGCAGAGCCCACAGCCCCTGTCTCAGGTAACACACACACAAACACACACAGCTCTATACACCTCATTAGCCCTTTGAGGACGGCAGATCTCTCAAAAGACTGCCGTCATATCAGTTTAACTTTAAAGACAGATTCTCTCGTCTAAATGCATTTGAGATAAGACTTTGAATTACTGTGTGGCTTACAGACGTGTTTTGCATACATTTTATCCTGCTATTTATCACCATCACCACCTTTCAGCTCCTGCTATATACAAAGCACACTTTACTGCCTCTACACATTGGCATTGTTCACTGTGTTTCTATTTTGTTCTAGATTCAGGGGACAAATACAGTGTTTTCAGAGAGCTTGAGAAGCCTTCAGACAGAAAACCAGCTGGTAAGCAGATGCATGTTTGACAGCATTGTATACAACACAGATCTGCATTCACAAAATTATTTTTAAAACAATTTCACCAGCCTACAGTGTGTTTAGTTTCATGAAGGGCTCCATACACTGATGTAGGCATGTGTGCGTGTCCCTGTCTCACTAGAGCAGAATCCAGTGAGGACAGCTCTGAGAGAGCCAGTAAGTCAATGGTTGCAGTGATCCCTTTTTCCAAAACTCCCATTCTGTTCTGAACTCTCTCTGCCTTTGATTCACTGCTAAAATGGAAAAGTTTGTCATTCACTTCTAGTGGTCACTCAAAATGGGCTTTCACTGGCCCATATTGAGAGGGCATGGTAGCAAATAGGGCTGGGTAATAAATATCGATTTCTCGATATTAAATCGATTCTCATTTTTACGAACCGATATCGATTCTTAAATCTCAAGAATCGATTAGTCATCCTGTTTCATTTGAATGAATGGAACATTGTATCGTGGCTGCGCGCATCCAAAAAATCGCATTAATCTTTGTCCTTTGTTACTATTGATATGAAATAAAGTCTCAAATTTCAAATTACGTCCATTTTCTTTAGAAATTCAAAAAACATAAATAACGTTTTGGCGCTGTGGCGTGAGATCGCTCTGGCGCAGCTCAAGAGAAGCAGCAGCGCTGATCTCTCTTCCGGCTTAATAATACCGGTCACAGCGCAAAATAAACATGAATGAGCATCTGAAAGTGTGTTAAAAGATAGAGTACAGCTTATCGAAATCTGTATCATGTCACATTGATTCACTCAATCAGCGTTTCAACCATGGAAAGACGTCAGTTAAACAGCTTATCAATTTCATTTATTGTCATATTTACCTCAGAAAAACCACATCAACTTGTTAGTCAGCTAGAAAAAGTACATACTTTTTTTTTTAAATTTTGCTAAATATATACACCATATTACACATTATAATCTTAATGTTCTTCAATATTTAATGCATATTTGAATAAATCTGGCAAGTTTTTATGACACCATTTAAATGTTTATATTTCATATAATCTTCTTATTATAAAAATAAATAAGTGTAATTTAAGTGTTTGTATAGCTACAAAACAGTTCATTATTACCTTCATATTAGGCTAATGAAGCCTAGTAGGCTGCAACTAGAATCCCATAGTTTACAGCATTAGTTAAGAGATTTGATTTCCTTGAGAAAATTTGCCATTTATTGTAACTGATATCCAAAATCAATATTGAATCGAATCGAATTGCAAGCTTGTGAATCGAAATCGAATCGGAATTTTTTGTCAATACCCAGCCCTAGTAGCAAATGACTGATATAATGCCAGTATTTGATAAAATGTAATATAGTGACTGCAAACGTGTTAATGAGCAGTCCTGCAGTATGCTGATATATTTACATGCTGCAATGGACATGATATGGCAAAATCTCTCTAGATTGCTTATCTTGATCGGCCAAGCGGGCAATCTCAAAATGGCCAAATGTCTCCGATTGGTCTGCTTTTATCAATTCATTTCAAATGAAATGAGAATGGATTGTGGTTGCACCTGAGTGTGTTTGTTTTTTGGTGGTGTTAATGTGCTGACTGAAAAATGCTGTTACAGTATATGTGATCTATTCCATCAGGTTGATTTCTGTCTTCACAGTAAAAGTCGTTTCATTGTGCCACCTTTTTTCATTTCATTCCAGCAGTCAAATGCAGCTTGTTAAGCATCGCTAATCCGTTTTTCTCCTTTTAGGCCTGTGAAATGAGACTTTGAGCGACTTGTAGGCAAACTCTGTTTTTGTGCCGTGCCACGTCTTTGTCCTTTGTTTTGGTGTGAAATGCATTTTGCCATGCTCTTCAATTGTTTTCTCTTTGTTTTTCCGCAGGGGAGGGATTTGCTGATTTCAAGTCTGTCAGTGCCGACGATGGCTTTACAGACTTTAAAACGGCCGACGCCGTCTCTCCACTAGACCCACCAGACCAGGCCAAGTTCCAGCCAACTTTTCCTCCTCCTTTCACTTCTTCTCAATCTCTGTCTCATTCGCAGCCATCCTCTCTGGCTCAACCTAGAAATCTTCTCAACATGGCAGACCTGGATCTCTTCACGACAATGGCTCCTCCTGCTCCCACTTCCACTGCTGACTCCAAACTCAATCTGTTCCCTTCAGCACCTCCATCTCTAGTATTGCCGAAACCTCCCAGTGTAGTGGGTGACGACTTTGGCGATTTTGCCCTTTTTGGCTCCTCATCATCCTCCGAAGTAGCTCCTGCCACCTCTGTAGCAGGTAGAGGAGCCGGGACAGTGGTTCAGGACGACTTTGCGGACTTCATGGCATTCGGGAGCTCAAGAGATCAGAAAAGTGAGCCCGACTCTGGAGACTGTGGCGGCGAGAGCCAGGCAGAGCCGTCCCAGCAGCGGCAACAAATTGGCGGCGACAAGTATGACGTCTTCAAGCAGCTTTCACTTGAAGGTGGCCTGGCCTACGACGATAACAAAGAAAGTGGCGGGGGCTCCTTCTCGTCGCTCAAGAGTGACAATGACGACTTTGCGGATTTCCAGTCCTCCAAATTCTGTACGGCGCTGGGCGCGTCTGACAAGAGCCTGGTGGACAAAGTGGCCGCCTTCAAGCAGGCCAAAGAGGACTCTGCCTCTGTGAAGTCCCTGGACCTCCCGTCCATCGGGGGCAGTAGCGTGGGGAAGGAGGACTCAGAGGATACACTCTCAGTACAACTAGACATGAAGTTATCAGACATGGGCGGAGACCTGAAGCACGTGATGTCTGATAGCTCCCTAGATCTCCCTGGTTTGTCGTCGCATCAACCCCCAGCTGCAGGTGAGGAATTAGTACGCTTGCTCTGGTGAAGTCTGGCCCACTCTTTCTTTCGCCACTTCGCCATTTCATACATGCTCAGGCCTCTCAAAGGCTGAACAACCGCCCTATCAGAACACTGTATGTGTGTTCAGTGCGCCTGAGTTAGTTACATATCAAAACTTGCTACATCATAACATGCCGTCATTCCCATCGAAGTTAAATACATTTGCAGTTTAATCATGCACAATTGTAAACCTACACTACAGTATTGATTGTTGTTTATATTTATGTATGTATTTATTTATTTATTTAATTTAGCTTAAGTATTATTAATTTTTTACCAGTCAAACCTTGTGCTTGTGAATTTGAATCTCATAAGATTAGTATTATTGCTAACAGCACAATAACTGGTTTTGTCAACTCCTAGTGTTATCAGGTGATCAGGCTGTTAAGAAAGCACATTTATATACAGAATTTAATTCGAATAGCTCGTGACTTGGTTTTCTCTCCTGTCGTCCGTCTGTTCGTGTTGTCATTGTCGCCATCTCTCATTAGTTACCCAGTTCCCCTTGCTTTGATTGTCATTGTATCCAAATCACAAACCCAAAGCAGCATGTAATCATGAAGGGTGCACACAATTTTAATTTCTCACATTTTTAGGACTGATTGCCCACTTATTTTTGCAACTGATAAAATCAGATCCATTTGTTCAGTTGCCATGGTAATATCTACATCAGTTGCCATAGTGATATCTGCATCAGTTGCTGTAGTTATGACTTACTGTAAAGCAATGACGAGAATGAGAATAGCTGGGACGGTAATGTGGGAAGAAAAGATTTTGGACAGGAAATGTGGAATTTTGCTTCATGTCCATTCTTTACATCTGGACATGCTGAACTCTGTGAGATGCAACACAGAGGTATTATGATAATGTATAATACATGAATTTGAAGGCATTAGTGCATTTTCTACAGTATGCTTTGTCTGAAATCATACTGAAACTAAAATGGTGAATACCGCACACTGTAGTTTGGGGGAAAATAATTTTATTGAAAAATAGACATTTAAAAAAAAAGTGATTTCTGACACGGGCATTATTGCACATTGTGTTTTTGACACTATGTACTTTTCCAAAAATTCATAAAGATATTTTTTTTATTTGATCCAACAATTAATTTCCAAAAATGTTATCCGATTTCATATGTAGTTTGGATTAGATTAGTAAATATCGGATTTCATGCTTTTCAGACAAATTAAACTGATTGGAGTGGGATATAACAAAAAAGGACTTTTGCCACAAAGCCAAACTGTATAATGTTCACATTTGACTTTATAATGTTCACATTCAAATCTTTGATTAGATGATTATGAGAGATTATTGCACAAGATGGCAATATTCATTTAAATTCTGCAAACACAAGACGTCTGGCTTTACATTCGTTAAGATTTTTGACTCCGAGCCATTTTGTGCTCATCAGAATTTCAAATAGAATATATAAACTGCCAGATTAATATGCTAATGATGCTGAAGCCATTTTTTTCATTGCAGGCAACTAGGTCTTAGCATGAAAAATGAGCTTAACATTTCTCTGCTTAATCTGATTCACAATTCCACTTTCCTATCAAACCATATCACAACCTTTCTTGGTTATAAAGAACAGGTGTTATAGTTTATTAAATATCATTCTGGACACACTTGTTTTGCATGTATCCGTTCATGTGATCCCTGTTTGCATGTGCATGGAGAAACTTTGATGCCGTGCCTCAGTGCATACATAAGCAAAAATGACAAAGCACTACTTTAACACGAGTCATATCACACAAGCATGAACTGGCTGCCCTGTACTTGAGCTGCATACCTCAGGCATCTCATACTAGTCCATGCTGAGAAATGGGAGTGCACATTGGGGCGCCAAGTTGGTGAGGTTTTCCCTTAGAGGCCTCGGTGACTGCCAGGAGCTCTTGACACTTTTTCCTAATGTCAGTCAGTCAGTCAGCATTTATTTACACTCATTCTCTGCATGAAATGCATCCCTCAAATGTGTGCTTGTGTTCCCTTGATCATTCATCATCATTATGTATCAGGGTGAGAACACAGTCACAGTATTTCATTCAGTTCAGTTCAGTCATATCAGCCCTCGTGTGCACAGACTGGTTGGAGTTGAGGAAGCACAGTAGAAAGAGTTCCCATACACTTGTGTGGTCTCACCAGAGCCAACAACCATACCTGAAAATAATAGACTGCTTCTACATCTAGTCAGAATTTCTATAATTACACGTTTCTTGCTAGTAATTACCAGTTTTTGACTGGAATCCATTTACATTTATGTCAAACTTATTTGAATTGGAAACGTAATGAAAGCTCTGACTTCTCCGTTTTGTACCTTCACGTAAAAGCAACTAAAACATTCAATATTTGAAGGTGAGCTTTTCAACTCATAATTACGCTAATTTCAACATGACATGAATGTAGCAATAGACATTAGCCAGAGTAGATATATTTAGTAGCCGTATTTAGACTTGAGCAAAACAAGGCCGTGAGGGATGAAAGTAGTTTGTTCAATATGTTGTATTCTGTAAAGGTTTTAGGTCACGTTTAATTTTAGTGAATTTCTAAAGATCATATATTGATATTTTTCAGTCGATATTGGATATTTAATTCTCGTTTTTTTCCTGTTTTACAGTAGATTACCTTTTCCATCATGTAATGCTAAAACGTAAAATTGGAGAACATTTTACAAGAAAATACTATTTCAGTCGTAAAAATTTCACCTTTTAATACATTTTTTTTTACTTTGAAATTAATTGGGAAATTTATAAGCAATTTTTTTTAGTGCACTTGATATTTTAAAACTAAATTCACTTATAGTATTTTAAACAACTGATTGTAGTGTTTACAGTTTATTTAGGCAAGATAATAAATAATTTTGATCAGCCATTTAGCATTTTTGGCTATGAAAAAATCTAATGCCAGTATCGACAAGAATTTTAGCATTGTGCATCACTATTTTCACAACCCAGTGTTTAAGACATTTTGTTCCTCTCAATTTTCACTCTCTTATCCGCTGAATGTTAAGCAACCACATATATGTTAAGAATATAACATACTGAATGAACTCATTTTCGCTTACGTCGTGTTAAACTTGCCTTTCACTCCGACTGAGGTCTGTAGGAATCCCTTTTGCCTTATCTAAACGAATTCTGTCATCATTACCTAAACCCTGTCAAACACTGTTGATTTTAGTTACATCTTATACAAATGCTTCTAGCTCGGTTACTGGACACCTCTAGAGCCCAAGCATAAATATTGTAGCATGTTTCGAGTGTTGGGTTTCCTAACACTTGCCCTACGCCCTTGGATGTGTAGCTAACCACCGTAGGCTATCTCTTTTCCAGGCCAGAGCGCTTCTCGTGGTCTTTCCATGAGAAGGTGACTTTACTTCAGGTTTGTTGCGGTACGTGCGGCTCTCGTAGACCACTCTGAAGGTGGAACTCTTTCTAACTTTGCTTTTCCATGCTTCAGTATACGTGCCAGCCTTCAATTTGTGAAATTGACAAGTATATACATGCAGTAAACAATTAGTAGGATTAGTCAGTTTTTCTGGCATACTAACAAAATAGGTTGTTTTTATCAAGAATGGAAATGTATACATGCAAATTTAATAGTGTATTTTTATTACAGGAAAATAAGCTCTTATTTATTTTGAATATAGATAGACTTGATTAATACTCCTGGTTGTGTTGCATAAATGCCAGAAAGCATATTATTTGTATTTATGAGGAGAACACTGCTTGCCGTGATATGAAATTGTTACCTTTTTGACTTGTGTGGGTCAAAAATAGCTCCTACTGAGATGTACAGGATGGCGAGAGAAAAAGGGTACTGTCTCTTTTTGTCGTTCTTTACCTGTCACTCGATCCAATAAATGCTCTTATAGGCTGGATTTATCTGGTTTCTTTTAACCCTTTGAGCACCTAGTTGCGATTTAATAATTCTGATTGATAGAATTTAATCATTTTGTAGCGTATGTAGGCTACACATCTAAATCAAAGAACTACAGTAGTAGTGGATCAACAAGGTTTTGCTAATGCATTTGCTTATTACAGCTAGATATATGCATCATTTTATAATCTAATTAATCATTTTACAATAGTTGACTAATTAAAAAGGAGCCTTTAAGCTTTGTCACTTGCAGGGTACATTGTGAGGGTCCACATTCACATGAATGAAGGGGAATCAAAGGTGTTAAATCAGTGTGATTGGTTACAAACTACAATGCTTAATAGTAGTAGACCCAATTTGAACTTTGTAATTGACACATTAATCAGGGCAGACCTAAGCGGATTCTCAATTATTCTTTTGATTTAATTGTGCAGCCTTAGTTTGAAGTTTCGATGAGTTGTTGTGGGTGCTGGCTTGCCAATTTATCACAAAATTTAATAATGAGTCTCTGTAAATGCTTTCAGGTTCTCAAAGGGTTTTAATAAGCTGCATAGCATCACCTTGATCTTTGCTTAAATGTTCTGTATCACCTTCCCTTATTTCTGGTTGCTTTTTCCTTTTATAGTCTGACTACAGTGTGTCTTTGACCAATGGGAACTAATCTAATCTTAATCTGTGAATGTGCCTTCTCAATGCTGGGTTCTGCATCTGGATTTGGGATTTTCTGTCTTGTTTTTGTTTCCTTCTCACTTCTGCTTTTTCTGACTTTGCATGCCCTTGTATTCTTATAATGCAAAAAAAAAAACACTTTTTAATTGTTAGTTTGGCAAGACTATTGTAACAAGATCTTTCATGGAATTTTGTGACCTCTTTCTCTTTCTCTCTCTGCCAATGTTGTCGTAATAAATATGAACAATGGTACAGCAGACATGCGTGCCGTCTTGATTTCTCTCTCCATCCTTCAAACTTGCCACCCAAAGCAGATTTAGGCATCAGAATTATCACACTGCACCAGCTTCTTGTCAATTTCACAAATTGATTGAGTATGTGAACAGTCGTGCCCCGCTCAACTGTGAGGTAATTAGCTATTGTCATGCATACGTGATTGTTTTTTTTTTCTAGAGCTGCCAATCAATTATGAATTTCAGTTTTAGTAGAATTTATTCATTTTAATCAACATTATGCTCTCAATATGAAGCCAGTTCCTGCTTATTTATCTGCATTTGAAATAAGTGTGTGCGGTGGCTTCAAAGTGCACAGCACAATACAGCTTTACAGTTCTTTCAGTCTGTCAGTGTGTGGATGATTGTATGGTATTGTGAATGATTGCACATCACTACACTGAAAATGGCAAAAGACATCTCTTGGTGAGTCAGTCTAGTTGCGATTAAAAAAAAAAAAAGTCAAAACTTTCATTTTATAAAAATGAAAGGTGCAGAATGACTGACATGGCTATTTTGACCTTCAAAATGAAGTTTTACTTCTAGTAACAAATCTGAAAAGCATTTGTCAATCCTCATATGCAGATGTCACTCACCCCAATCTAGTGAATAAGAAGTTGAGTGTATCTTCCTCGGCTCAGAATGACTTCTGGGTGTAGATAAGGACTCAGGAATCATTAGAGTGGCTTTGTGTGCCAGAAGTCTCTAGTTAATGAACCAGGGCTTCATCATATGACGATATCAGGAATAATTTATCATGACCAGGATGAGCACTTGAGACCATCCTGAATCCGTAACCAATAGACAAAATGACACTTTCATTTGTCAACAAAACACATGTAGGGGTTGACCGTGGTGATGATTTAACTTGCACCTGGGTGCCCAGTTAGAAAGACCCCTAAGGCTTAATGATATGTACACTATATCTTTATTAAAGATATTACAAACTTTATTAAAAATTTTGATTTTATAATAAAAAAAAAATGCAATTTTAACTTGAAACAAATTTAGATAAAGGGGAGAGATTTAAAGACTTTGCCCGACTTACTTTTAAGCTTTCTTCTTTTATAAAGAAAGTTGAGGGTTCAACACAAGTTGAATTTGTATTGAAAGCATCAGTGTCTTGCTGTTTATCACCACACAAAATAATAACTCATTCGTCAGTGTGTAAAAAATACTGTGCACTATAATGCCATTTTAGTGAAGTCTGTAAAGCAAAAGGTTGCACAAAAAAAAGTTAAATGCATGTTTCAGAAATATACCTCCAAAACTTACACAAGCATTAACGTGAGTGTTATAAAGCGACTTGTTCTAATCCAGTCTTTCAGCTGCTGACCATGGAAAGCTGGTAAACATGGTAAGTTTCACATATGTGGATATCAAAAAGGGACTCAACCTTTTAGACTCAAAGGTCCCCTGATATTGGCTATTTTTTGGTATTTTCTTCAAAGCTTGTTTTGTTGTTTGGTCTTGTTTTCAAACTAGGAGTGTTGATGTATTTAATCATCTATGATTTTTCAATCGAAGGCAACTGTTATTTAGTTTTAGAGTAACTAAATAATTTGTATTATTTGTTTTTATTATATTCTAATAGAAATGTTTATATCTTGTGTTTTAGCATTTCAATTTATTTTTTATTTTTTTATTTTAATAATAATTTATTCATTTAAAATACATTTCAGTCATCTTGAGACCCCTATTGGCCCCAGAACCACTGGTGTATTTTATCAGCCTAGAACGGTAGTCCCACCACTAAATGGGCAATTTAGACAACTTGACAGCCTAAATACGCATTTTTGTATGGCCTTGCTTCATATACTTTTGAAAGTGTATTACCACTATAAATGCTGCTTTAATTAAATGCAGTCAGTAAAACTATACTTTTATTGAACCCAGAACATCCTATTCTACAATTATACTACAACATGAAAGTACTTAATGCTAAACTGTTCTATAGCTATAAATGTACTAAAATTTACCTAAAAATGAAAAATCTTGTCATTAATTACTCAACCTCATATAACTCCAAACCCGCAAGACTTTCGTTCATTTTAGGAACACAAATTAAGGTCTTTTTGATGAAATCTGAGAGATTTCTGTTCTTCCAGTGACAGTCCGTGCAACTACCACTTTAATGCTTCAAAAAGTTCATAAAGAGATCGTAAAACTAACCCATATGAATTAAGTGGTTTAGCCCAAATTTTCTGAATGGACTCGATCGCTTTAAGTGATGAACAGATTGAATTTAGGCTTGATTATAAACATTGATCAGCGAACATAAACAGAAGCTCAACTATGTTTCTTGCAGAAGCTCAAACGCGCTGCGTAACACGAGCATGAACCTCATTGGTTCTCACGCATCAAGTGAACATGCTTGAGCTTTCATTTACCACAACTGATATGTGCATTGAAGGATATTTAAATAAAGTCAATCTGTTCATCATATAAAGTGAACAAGTCTCTTCAGAAAAGTTGCACTAAACCGCTCAATTCGTATGGATTAGTTTTTTTAAGCTTTTAGAGTCAAAATGGTAGTTGTCTAGCTGCCCATTCATGTTCCAAAGATTAACTGAAGTTTTCAACGTTTGGAATGACATGAGGGTGAGTAATACATTTTTGGGTGTAACTATCCTTTTAAGGCACTGAAACCTAAAAGTTCATGGATGTTCCATTTTGTCATTTACAGAGTCTGATGATTTAAAATTTGACCCCTTTGGCACATCTGCCGTCAGCAGTCTGGGCAGCTACGACTGGTCCGACAAGGACGATCTCCCATCTGGTCAAGGAAAGAAGCTCCAGGGAGAGTCTCAAGGTGGACTGCCATCTTCAGCTGTTGTCCATAGGAAAGAGACCTCTTTCGGGAGCTCTGAGAACATCACCCACACCACAGTTGCCAAGGTGACCACCTTCCCAATCGAAGACGGTGGCTCCACTGCTGAAAACCGCTTCGAAGCCTTCGCTGACTTTGGCTCCATTGAACAGGCCGGACAAGATGACGACGACGACGACTTTGGCGACTTTGCCAGCACGGTTTCTGAGAAATCCGACTCCCCTCCTGGAATCGCAGAAGCGGAGAGCAACCAGGGCGAAATGACAGATGAGTTTGGAGCCTTCCAAGGAGACAAGCCCAAATTTGGCAAGTCAGATTTCTTGAAGGCCAGCACACAGGCCAAGGTCAAATCCAGCGAAGAAATGATCAAGAACGAACTCGCCACCTTTGACTTGTCCGTGCAGGGTAAGTGTCATCACAATATTTTATGCTAAAATTTAAATTGTTGTAATTTCTTTTGACTTTGCAATGTAATGGTTACATTTTCTGAAATGAGGCAGCCTCAATGATGTATGCAGTTATCAAATGCGACAGCAAATGGATCTCACTCCCTAAGGAAATTTGTGCATGAAATCATCATACAAATTGTTTCTACAAACAAATCATGAGTCACCAATAACTTTTGTACAAACATTAAGTTTACAAACAAGTAGGATTAACTTAAAGGGATACACTTTTTTTGGAAATAACTCCCCCAGAGTTAAACAGTTGAGTTTTACCGTTTTCAAATCCATTCAGCTGATTTTCTGATATTTCGAAGAAATAGTATATTTTTTTCCTACTATTGAAGTCAGTGAGACCAGTAACTGTCTGGTTACTGAAATTCTTCTAAATATCAGAAAATCGTCTGAATGGATTTGAAAACGGTAAAACTCAACTGTTTAACTCTGGGGGAGTTGTAAAATGAGCCTATTTCCAAAAAAAGTGGAGTATCACTTTAAACCACACGTATGCAAAAATCACATAATCGAGATGACTACAATCGCATTATGATAAATTTTATTCTTGGATATTTCAATATATAGTGAAAAAGAGTAAGAAAAGCTCTCTGTATAACACCGATACATGTACCAGTATAAAAGGTGTTTATTGTGTTGGAACTGGTTTTGAGGATAGCGCACTTGCCGTTTTTTAAGGCTCTTGTTGCATGTGCTCAGAAGAAAATGCGTCTTTAGAGTTGGCATCATAGGCTTTCTGAGAGTGACGAAAGATTGTGAAACTTGGTTTTGTGAAACACGAAAGAACGTTTTATGCAAATGACTAACCTTGGGCACTCGGTCTCTCGTTTATAATCCAAATTCATTAACATTAAATGAGGTTAAGATTGAACAAGTTCTCATGTGCGTACCAATACGGAATAATCCACGCAGTTATTAGTGAATGAGACCCAATGAGTGCATCTCCACAGCTGCATTCTCTCTGAAAGTCAACAGATGGCAGAGTGGCATCTGATGCGTATGGCAATGTCAATGTATAAACATTACCACCCATTTCCCTCATCACTTTGGTTTTTCATCCTCGCTCCCCAATAATGCATTAGCACTTATTCAATGGCATAAACGCTTATTTGTCTCTTATTGATCCCCAACCACATCCGCTAAATTTCATTTGTTTCAACAAAAGAGGGTTTACTCCTTTGCCGACCTCCTATCAGACCTAATCTGAGGAATGAGGTTTGTGCTGGAATGGATTAGCGGCTGAAATCATGCAGAGACTGATGATGATTTACCTGTCCCTGCGTCACATGAGCTTGTTGTGCCGCTGTCCGTCTCCTTGCTTATGTGTGCACGGCATGCTTTTTCTTGCCCGTTTGACTGTGCGATGCCTCATGAATAATGCATGTCCGTATTACTATGCTGCTGTTTTGCACATAATTATCATTTGTTGCAAATGAGGTGTTTGTGGTTCGTGTTGTGGCCCAACCGTGGATTACCAATGACAGTTTGTGTGCTCCTGAACGTTTTAATTATACAGCAAGATCAACAATTCAACTCGTACATTAAATATACAGTTAGTGTGGGGTAAGATGTGTCATTCCCTTTGTCACATGACCTGTCTATGTATTACAAATACAATTCAAATAGAACTGTGAAGTGCATGTTTTTAATTTCTGATTTAAAAAAAAAAAAAAAAATTGAGGTTAAGATTGAACGAGTTCTCATGTGCGTACCAATACAGAATAATCCACACCGTTATTAGTGAATGAGACCCAATGAGTGCATTGGATCCAGTGCATCTCTTTTTAAAAAATTTTTTCCAAGAAATGTCAGGGTGGTACAATAGAAGTATTTAATTTTTGAACCGAAAAGTAATATTTTGTAGAAAAAAAAAGTTTTAACATAACCTTATATAATTATATTATACATAATATAAAAAATATTTAATGGTACATGTTCGCCAAAGCCATGTGGTGTGATCAACATGCATAAAAAATACCCATAAAACAGGAAATGTTAGGAAATTTTAGCTAATGTTGTGGTATGACTCATGATCTGTTATTTTTATATTATATACATACTGTTATAACTGTAATTTGAAATATTAAAAAATACTGTATTTTCTGTTTTTTATTTTAATTTTACTTTAAGTTGTAGAAATGTTATGTGCTTTCATCCTTTATATTTTTTTTCTATATTTTTTTTATTTAACTTTATTTTTATTGCAGTTTTAGTAATTCCAACTTGTTTCAGTTTCTAATGTTTCTATTTCTAAATTTTGCATTTTATTTCAGCTTGATTTCAATGACCGAAAACATTTTAATAGTTTATTTTTTACCTTTGATAATATATAGACATACATTTTAAATGTTGATAACATTGTACTATATTATCAATTTTACTTGGTAAGTTACATTACCTGATGTTTTACAGTCGTTAAATTGAAACTTTCTGGCAAACTTTTTTTTATTTTTTACTTTCATGTAATTGTACAAAGGTTCTCATAAGCGTAGCCACAGTCTGGGAGAGAAAGAAATTGTACGCTCCATCCCCTCTCCTGCCCCTGAGCAGCCCTTCAGAGACCGCTCCAACACCCTAAATGAAAAACCAGCGCTGCCGATCATCCGCGACAAGTACAAGGACCTCACAGGAGAGGTGGAGGTCAGTCACTTGCTCTCTTCTCGTCCTTCATTCTCTTTGTGCACACAGACTGGTTCTCTGTGTTGAATACAGCCAGAGGTTTCTCAATGAACAAAGCTCTTATTCGGTTTCATCTTTTTCATTTTTTTTTTCTCCCACTGTCTCTCGTCCAAACACTCCTGGCAGGAGAGCGAGCGATATGCGTACGAATGGCAGAGGTGTTTGGAGAGCGCTCTGCAGGTAATGTATACCACACACACACGCACACATTCATAAAGAGTTTTGTATACACTTTAAAACTCTATCAGTCTCCAGATAGACTTAGAATCACAATAACACAATACCAAAATCAACAACAGAGTAGGAGTTGGAATATTTTGGAACCTATGTTGCCACAAATATAAACCTGTGGCCTTATTTATAAAATGCACATGCAATCGGAATTGATCCTAAATTCCATAGATTTTATCCTACATCCTAAGTGAGGAACAAATAGGGATTTATAAAGGCAGAAACTGATGTGAAAATGTAATATGTGTACGCCAACTGAAGAGCATGTGTACAAACTTTTTGGTGCTCTTATACCAGTGATTCAATTAATTCATGATCATGGAATGATATGCATTAGTATAATTATATGTGCAAATTATAATAATTGCATCACTGAAATGAAGTAATTTATATTAAAGATTTCCGGAAAATAACTATAATAAATGCCTACAAACACACATACTGAAACCAGGCCATGCCAAACATTGTCTGAGAGTGTGCTTGGATTTCCTTGCCTATTGATACTTTTCTGAACTATAAAGGGATATTTGTGGGCGTTGTGTTGGTGGAGGTGATGCGCTTGTACACATTGCTGTGAATTTAAGATGAGCTGATTTATAAAGAGAGATACATTTTATGATTTTTTTTTTTTTTTTTTTTGCATTACAGAAATTTTAGAAATATTTCATAGAAACATTTTAGAAACTGTTCTATGTTCTCATTTATGATCATTATATATAATTTGTTTGACAACATGTCTTGTTGGTTGTTGTAGAAATGTGTTGGCTTGTTAGAAGAAAAAGTAATGAATTTATATTCCCTAAAGGGAATATTTCAGGCTGGCAATTAAAAATCTAATTTCCCCCCTTTTTTTTACTACTTAATTTTCATTTTTCGGCAAACTATCCCTTGACATAATTTATTCCCCCCTCATGTTTTTCCAAACTTGTATGAGTTTCTTTCTTTATTGAACAAAAAAGGAGATATTTTAAAGAATGTTTGTTTATCCCTTTAGTTTATTTTTGTGATTCCCTTTAAGCAATTTCAAATCATTCACATTAGATACATTCGTGTGTTTAGACTGGATTAATAATCTTAAGGTTCAATGATGAGGACATAAAATGACTTTTTTTGTGAATCTAAGTGCTTTCCTCAGTTTAATGTCTTTGAATAGCAGTAATTAATTTTGAGGGCTTTTCTCAGGAAATATTGATATGAAATCATTTGTCATAATCATAAATTAACATAAACATTTTGGCCTGGTTTCACAGACGGGGCTTAAATTTAAGCCAGGATTAGGCCTTGGACATTCAAAAAGCTATGTATTTTTTTATTTGTGTGCATCTTGAGACAAACAATGGCACTGACATATTTTAAGATGTTAGTGCAAGTTGCTTTAGTTTAAAACAGATTAAACATGCTAGACCAGGACTAGTTTTAAGCCTTGTCTGTGAAACCGGGGGATAATGTAAAATATTTTTACAGCCATGTCTTTTTAGCCATGCCACTTTAGCCACTTTACAGCCATGTCTTTTCTTCTCCTTTCAGGTCATCAACACTGCTAATAACACCCTTAATAGCATCAGCAGTTCCACAGTGTGCACAGAGGTCATCCAGTCTGCACAGGGGACGGAGTACCTTCTAGGTGAGACTACGACTACATCCACGCTTCATTTACTGATCAGAGGCCAGCATTACCCATCATAACAGACATCAGTAAATCTCATAAGATCAGCCATGTCACACCATATCTTTAAACACATTCATACCTGCTCCTCATGCGTCCCTGCAGTCTTCCGTCAAACAGACAGGCCAGGTGTTTTGGTTATCTGCTTCCTATTTCTGTTGTCACACACACACACACACACACACACTCACTCACTCAGGGTGGCTTTAATGAGCTGTACGTGCCTATGCTGGCTGAAAGGGAACATGGGGTGTGGCTGTTATACATAGAAACAAACAGTTAAAGCTCTTTGATCTGGCTCTTGCGATTGTGACTGGAGTCAGAGCAGGGCATTGTGGGTCTGGCCAGGAGAGGCTAGTGTTACAGAGCAGAGCAACTATTCTGGGCCGTTCTAATATGTTCAGCTTAAAAGGACATTCAGCACTGGTGAGTGCTGGGAATGGCACCGCCGTGTTATTGTTTCTCCTGTTTGGTTATGCACAGGCTCTGTTCGCACACAAATCCACACAGCACTGGCAATATCTGTAATACTTTCACTTTGGTTGCTATAGTAATGATGGCAAGAGAAAACTGGAAATACTGTTAACGCAAAAATAGACTCATTCACATGTTCATTTGTTTTTAAATAGTCAAATTTTAGGGGGAAGAACATATTTTGAGTTAACTGCTATCATGAATACTCTCATACCATGTCAATCACAACTATCATACATTTCTATTTTCATTGACACTCTTGGTTTTTGCATTACATCGAAGGTTTTTACATGACAAATGTTGTCGGTGTTTTTTTGCGTATATATATCAGGTGTGGTGGAGGTGTATCGTGTAACCAAGCGTGTGGAGCTGGGTATCAAAGCCACGGCTGTTTGTTCGGAGAAACTACAGGAGCTGCTTAAAGACATCAGCCGTGTGTGGAACAACCTGATGGGCTTCATGTCGCTGGCAAACCTCACTGTGAGTTGACAGAATAAACAATACTAGATCTTGTAGCAAGTCCAGTAAGACATAAATATTGATTCATGCTTAACAGATGATTGGTTGATTTAAAATTTATGAGTATAACTGAGGTAAACTATGCTTTATGTGAGCTTTGAGCTCTGGAGCCATAGGCACTTCTGAAAATGTGGCACAAAATACAAAATGTAGCCTAAAGCTATTATAAAATGTATTTAATTTATTTTTTCTTTCAACGAATGATGTGCTCTGAAGCAGCTTAACCAGTTTAGTGTTAGTACTTGAAGTGGGTAGGCTAGTTTAACACTAATTTAAACACTCTTCACATCCTGATAGCAAATAAATAATAGAAGTCGTCTGAATATAAAAAAATTTACATCTTCTGTGGAAGTCTCAGGACCCAAAAAATATTTTATCCAATCATTGCATTCGGTCATCAATGTGTCCCATGAGGCTATGCAGAGTTGTAGATAGTCAGTCACCAAGCGCCCCAAACAAACAATCAAACAAACCTTTTACAGTTCCTCCTGATGCAAAACAACGAGCTTATGCTACGTTCACACCATGTCGTTATTAGCCGTGACACTCTACCCGGAGCTGTTCACGTCCTCTGACTCAGAGTTATGTGTTTCTGTGTCAACACTATCAACACTGAAATTAATTTTCTGCTGTCAGATGGTACAAGTCAGAGCTCTAAGTTGTTTACGGTCATTATTATTGTACGTTTATGTGCTTTGAGACATGAGGTAATTTAACACTGTCTCTCGTGATGCTTTGCAAACTCTGCTGTACTCCTTCTTGTGTTTTGAAGGAGGCGTGAAGATGCTCTGAAGGGAGGGTGGGATCTTATGCTTTCAAATCTAGCTTGCTCTTGCTAGCCTCTGAAATTTCCCAGCCCACCTTTAACGTGCTTAAACCATTAACAGTATGTTTTATAACAGATAGTCAGTAAACAAAAACATAAAACAAAAGAATTATATCAAGAGTCAATGAGAAGTGAAAATCAACATTTTAACTTGTCAGATAATAATATTTCAATGCATATATCATAGTTCTTACAGAAATCATGGCAATTGTATGTTTATATCTTTGCAAGCATAAAGTCATGAGGTACCTTATTTGTGGAAAGCGAACAAGTTGCATGATAAAGCTCTCTGCAGTGTACTCATGGGAGAATATCAATTCCAGCAGATAATATTAGAGTTGTGCGGTCAGATAATATCAGCTTGGGAAAATGAAGTGTAGGCACACAGCCGAAAACCCACAAACCCTCTGAAGCATAATAAAAATGAACGTGGTTAGAGGGTGGAGGGTTTGCCTCTGCTCGGATCCTGCTGTTTTGGCCAGATTCTGTAGCTGATCTATTGATCTGCAGGGCCAATCAACTGCTGTGAGGTTGATGGGCTGGTTCAGTGGTGTCTGTGATCTGAAGTTTGAGTGGCAGACAGTGATTTGTGTGGAGGATTGCTTTTTAAGAACTGAATTCATGATGATTGTGTGTGTGTTTGTTCTTTAGCCCGACGAGAGCTCACTGGACTTCTCCTCCTGTATATTGAGGCACGGCATTAAGAATGCCAAAGAACTGGCGTGCGGAGTGTGTCTGCTCAACGTGGACTCGCGCAGCAAGGTCTGTACGCACCAAGAACACGCACATCTGCATTCAATCATTAGCAACACTAACGCAACAAATATATTGTATTTTATGTTTTATAGTTCACCCAAAAATGAAAATTCTGTTATTTATTTACCCAGACATGTTGGTCCAAACTCTATTTCTTTTGTCTAACACAAAACAGGATTTTTAAAGTATGTTCTGGCTCTCCTTTTCCATATCATTACAATGAATAGGAACCATAGCTTTATTGGTTCAAAAGACAGAATTCAAAACCACCATCATGAAAATATATTGGTTGAGCAACTGTTTATGGTCGCTGATCAATGTTAATATGTTAATTTGAATAAAAGCCTAAATACAATCTGTTCATCATATAAAGTAATCATGTCTTTTTACTGAACTTTGGTAGTTTTGTTGCTGTTAAAGGGATAGTTCACTTTGAAATAAATGTTTGATATGTTTTAGCTTACCTCAAGGGCATCCAAGATGTAGGTGTCTTTGTTTCCACAGTATTTTCAATTTTGACATTTTTCAGTCAAACCGAAACCGTTGTTGTCTATCAGTCATACACTGGAGGCTAAGGGAGTCCACCAAAAAGAATGCACAGAGAAGTCAAAATTAAACATGATTTAATGACTCGTAAATGTAAGTACACATTGATGGCCTAAGACACGAAACGAGCGGTTTGTGTGAGAAAACGAACAGTATTTATATTGTTTTTACCTCTTGTAATCACAGTGATCTGAATCAGTTGTGCAATGTCCAACTGAACCGAACTGAATCAGTTCAATGTTACGCCGGAAGTGATCGCTTGCGTGTGACATCACTCAATATTTACACGGAGATTTCAGAAGTTTTACCTTTTACTAAAGATATTTAGATATACCGAAATTGTCTTCCATTGTGGTTTCCCGTATATCTAAATATGTTTAGTGAAAGGTAAAACTTCCGAAATCTCTGTATAAACAAAGAGTGATGTCGGCGCGTAAGCGATCACTTCCGGCGCATGCGCAGACCGAAGCGCCCGTGCCGTCAGATCATTTTGTCATGGCTATGATTACAAGAGGTAAAAACGATATAAATACTGTTAGTTTTCTCACACAAACCGCTCGTTTCGTGTCTTAGGCCATCACTGTGTACTTACATTTACGAGTCATTAAATCATGTTTAATTTTGACTTCTCTGTGCATGCTTTTTGGTGGACCCCCTTAGCCTCCAGTGTATGACTGATAGACAACAACGTTTTGACTGAAAAATGTCAAAATTGAAAATACTGTGGAAACAAAGACACCTACATCTTGGATGCCCTTGAGGTAAGCTAAAACATATAAAAAATATCAATAATTAAATATCAATAATTTTGATATCAAAAATATCAAAAAAGTCTTAAGGGTTTGGAACGACGCGAGGGTGAGTAATTAATAAGAGAATTTTCATTTTTGGGTAAACTCCCATTTGAATTTCCCATTCAAAAACAACAACAACAACAACAAAAAAAACATCCCTCCTGACTATTTCTTTGATTTTCACAATTTTACAGAAGAAAAACGAGAACACTTTTGGACGCCTGTTTAAAAGAGTAGGATTTACTGAACTGCCTCAACTCCAATTTGCAGCTTGTTGCAGGGGTCAGACAGACAAACCCATGTGTTGCAGCCAAAATGACCAGAACTCGCCTCTTGCCACTCAACTCGTTTCAGACTGCCAAAAACAGCTCTCAGACGCGCGCTCTGACTCATGCATCTAAATCTACAGGCGCTCGGTCAAGGCCACGCTTTCATTCAAGTAGCTTTAGGTGTTTCATTTGGCTATGAGCTCTTAGCTCCTGTTTTCTGAGCATTCACAGAAATCTTTCATGTCGAGCTCGTATTGCCTAAGTGAGTCTGATTGACGTCCAAAAAGCATGAGGCAGGTGGCAAATAGGTGATGTATTCGTCATTTTGGCACCCCTGGGCGGTGAAGAAAAAGTGGTATGGGATAAATGAAATTTCATATGTAAGGGAATAGTTCACACAAAATGTGTAATTTTACTCACTTTCATTTTAACAAACCCTTAGGCTATTTTTTTTCTTTTCTTCAATGGGACACAAAATATTTTTAGCAGAATGTCCTAGCTGCTCTTTTTCAGACCATGCAAGTGAATTAAAAGTGATGTCATAAAAACAGCATTTAAGTGTTTCATATGACTTGTGCACTATATTTGGTCATGAATTTGAAGTCAATATTTCTATGACTTTAAAAAGCAGCCATCATCTGTCAGTCAGACCGTATGCTGTTACCAAATTGACTTGGTTCTCATTTTCATTCAATTTTTTTTGTTATAGTATTGAATTGGTACCAAAGTAGTTTAGACCAACATGACGTATATGACAGAATTACAATTTTTGGGTGAACTATCCCTTTTAATTATTAATCTGTTCATAAGCACAATCCAATCCTGTACAGGTTTAAACACGTAATTGTCGCTTTGTCACTCGCCCTGTTAACATATAATGGCCATTAAGATTCCTCATCTCACTGAAACCCTCCTGAATCTCCCTCACATTAATGTGACGGTCAAGGGTTGCTGATGTAATAAGGGGTAAACATTGCTCAGAGTGCAATCAGGGATGGAGGGGCTCAGTGCAGCAAGGAATCATGGGACGGATGTCTGAGGAGCAGATGCAGCTCAGTCATCAGTCACGGCAACCAAAAACACAGGTGCTAATAGATCCGCTGAACACATCCAGCCCGCCGCAGATTAATAGAGCCGTTTCCGTCTGCTCCTGACATCCGATTAATATCCCGCTTTTTAATTACGTTTTTGGTGGGTTTGGGGGGCAGCGTCACTGTCTGGGGCGAATGAAATCAGGGTTTTGAAGGTGGAGCTGCATCTCTGAGATGAGATGTTTTTAAAGGTGGGGGTGTTGGGCTACAGGTGGAGATTTTCACTGTGCTGTGGATGATTCACTCTGCTGACCTTGGGCTAGCATTCAGTTTCTGTCCCCGCCGGGGAGGCATGTGATCCTGCTGCATCTGCTAACAGGATTTATCTGCAGGAATGGGCAACAGTGTATTAACTTAGCACTTTGCATAGATTATCTATGCAAACTAAAATAAAATGTTATATACACTACCAGTCAAAAGTTTGGGGTTGGTAAGTTTTTGTTTATTGTAAATAAGTCTCTTATGCTCAACAAGGCTGCATGTAATATATCAAGACTACAGTTAAAAATAGTAATATTTAAAATATGTATGTATGTGCACCATTACATTTGATCCTTCAGAAATCATTCTAATAGGCCAATTTGCTGCTCAAGAAACATTTCTGATTCTTATTAATATTGAAAACGGTTGTGCTGCTTAATGCTTTTGTGGAAACCATGATGCATGTATTTTTAGGAGTCTTTAAAGAAAGGGTTTGACATAGAAACATTCTTCTGTAACATTATAAATGTTTTTGCTGTTTTGTTCAATTTTAATCTTTATTCAATAATTCAATTTTAATCTTATTTATCAGATTATTATCGTAAAATTAAGCATAGTCAGAAACTTATTTTATAAGACTTGTAAAATATTTGAAAAGAATATTTTCATATTTTATAAGACTTTTATATACTAAGGTTAGCCACTTCAAGCGGTTTGGCTTGTTTTTCCAATGTATCTAGCTAACCACACAACTCAAGTTGTGGTCTCTGTAAAGCTTTTTGCACAAATTGAACCGCAAAAATTATGATTATCCATCAGGTTTCTAATCAATCTAATCGGTTTCTTGCAAAACTTCTCAGTACATGTAGTCCAGCCATTTGTTCAGCTAGATGCATCAAACCACTCCAACAAATAGCATTTAGAAAGCGTCCCATTGTTTAGATGGGTTAGGCAAGGCAAGGCAAGGCAAGGCAAGTTTATTTATATAGCACATTTCATACACAATGGCAATTCAAAGTGCTTTACATAGAAGAAATTAAAATAATCAAAATAAATCAGAATAATTAAAACAGTTTAGAATAAAAAATAAGAAATAATGAAAAATAAAAATTATGATAAAAATAAAATACAGTAAATTAAAACTATTTAGAATAAAATGAAGTGCAGTAACAGTCGGACGAACAGTGGCACAGTGCTCATTCAGTAAATGCACAGCTAAACAGATGTGTTTTGAGTCTTGATTTGAATGTGACTACTGTAGGAGCACACCTGATCTCTTCTGGAAGCTGGTTCCAGCTGCGGCTGGCATAATAGCTAGATTAGATTGATCATTTTGATAAGTATATTGCATACTTCACAAGTCAATTAACTAGAAGTAGTTATAGATTCTCAAAAGACTTTGTGCAGTAAACAACTTTCAGATTTTATGTTTGCTTAGAAGTGTTTAGATTATAAACTGTATGTCCAGAATATAATATGAATGTGTTGTGTGCAGAACGATTTGAAAGTCTGGTAGTGTATGATCCTCAGTCATTTAGTCTATGTTTCCCAGCTTTTTCTGGGTGACCATTTACAAAGTGTATGATGCCTAGTGTTTTTAAATCTGTTCAGAATTTGCAATGTAGTGTATATTCCAGCCTTAAATGTCACGCTAATACAGCATCCTATTAAAAACCCTTACTCTGTGAGGTGGGCATCCATGCTAAAATTAGAACAGATGCCAGGTTATTAAATTCAAGTACCTGTAGCACAGCTGGTTGCCCCTAATGTGAAAAACAATAACAAGTAGCTGTTGAAAGGAAGCCATTAGTTTGCTTCAGTAGATACAGCATAGCTTTTACATTATGCAGGACAGGAGCTGTCTCAAATGTAAAAATAATTCTGACAGAGTGGAATGTTTCAGATTTCAGAAACAGCAGTTCATCGATCTTTGATAGACATTCGGCCACTATGCTTTTTGTTTTACTATGCATTATCGGCTCACCAAAATACATAAATAGTTAAAAATCATGTAAGAAGTCTTGTTGTTTTGAACGTCCTCCCATGACATGGTTGGTAAACAAACAAGCTAGTTATTCCCCTTTCAGCTAATTAAATGGAAGTCTTGCACACACAAAAAAAAACATGCAACCTGTTAGTTTTGCATTTATAAATGGTTGCCACAGTCTTGGAAAAAAGTCATGGTCAATTAAGTAGTGCATTGACAGTAAGAAATACATTTTTTATTTTTGAAAATACTTTTATTTGGCAAGGATGCATTAGATTAATCCAAAATGACAGTAATTTATATTGTTACAAAATATTTGAATTTCAAATAAATGTTCTTTTGAACTTTCATCAAAGAATCCAGATTTTAAAAAAATCATGGTTTTCACAAAATATTAAGCAGCACAAGTGTTAATAACATTGATAATACTAAGAAATGTTTTTTCAGCAGCAAATCGGAGTATTAGAACGGTCCCTCCATCCCTGAATTACTGAAGGATCATGTGATGTGGCACTGAAGACTGGAGTGATTTTAAAATTTCACAATAGTACAATTTTTACTGTTTTTTTTTTATCAAATAAATGCAGCTTTGGTGAGCATAGGAGACTTCTTTAAGGGTGTGTTCACACTTGGCATGTTTGGTTCGATTTAAACAAACCCTGGTGCGGTTCCTCTGTTATTGCAGTTCATTTGAATAACTGTGAACGCTGCCATCCGAACCCTGGTGCGCGCGCCAAACAATCTGGGTCTCGGTCTGCTTCCAAACGAACTCTGGTGCTGTTCGACTGATATATGAACGCAAGATGAACCAAATACATGTAAACAAACCAAAAACAGGAAGATTAGATCCTTAAAAGGAGCGAATGCTCACACTCGTGGTCATATTGGTTTTCTTCTCCTCATAGTCGTAAGTTTGCCCATCATCATAGTTCGGTACAGGCATCAGGATCTTCATTTGTGTGTGTGACGGAGAGATTCCTGTCGCTGTTTTGACTCCTTTACACATTTTATAAGCTCTTCACAAGTTCTCAGCTGGTCAAGATACCATCACATGCTGGTTACACACATACATTGAGCATATAATATATCTCAGCACACTGCATTTTGGATGTTCGCTAAGTTCCATCTCAAAATGGCCAGTACATCATAAAAGCCCGAGTAATCAGGTTGTGAAACATATGCCTTTAGTCTTTTAGGTTCTGTATCTTTTGGTTTGGTGATGATAATACCAATCTGAATGCTAATTGGACCAGGACTAAATGTTTTTATTTTTTTGGTGTCCGGACCAAGTGAACCGATCTACAAGTGTGAACACATCCTAAGGGTGCTTTCACACTAGCACTTTTGGGTTCGATTGACATCAGCGTTCAGTTCGATTGGATGATGTGAACGTAGTCTTCCGAACTCAGGTGCGCCCCTGCAAACCGGTTCATGTAAACTCTGAACGATTGCGTTCATATCAGGAGCGAAACGTACCAAAGTGAACCGCTTTTAATGATGTAATCATTAGAATGTGTGTTTGTGTTAACGCTATTAATTTTTGTGCCGTCATTCCCAAGCTGTTTTGATGCAAACGCACCGTGGGTCGACTCGAATAATATAATCTGAACATCGTCCGACAGGGGGAGCAATCAATCACCGGTTTAGACCAGGCAATCGAACCAAGTGTGAAAGCACCCTAAAACATTTTAGAAAAGGGTTGTATATGCATTTCCAGTGCTCGGCACCACTCTTATTAATGGTACAAAGCTATCTTTGATGATACTTAGGAACTCTAGTTACTCACAGTTGCCCTTTCTTGTCTTGTACTGTAGCTAATTTGCAACAAGCTTCCGCCTTTAAGTGGACACCCTTCTTCCACTGTGGGCTCTCTGGTGCTCTAGTTTTGCTCATTAACCAACCAAAAAAAAATAGTAAAAAGCTCTATACTAACGCTGATGCTGACTTGTTTATGCTACTTGCAGGCACTGACAAAAGACAGTCGCTCCAAATTAAGGGTAAATATTCCAGTTTTTCTTAAAGCTTCACTTTAGTGAATGTAGGTTAAAGCTGAAGTGTCCCTCACCGTCCTTCAGACTTTGTTGTAAGAAGGGTTGTCATCTTTGCAGGTAGGATGCACTGTTTGCAATCAGATAGTAATTAACCTTTCCGCCAGCTAAACAAGGTCTGTTGAATTAGGATGACCTTTTCAGTGATTCTGAGCCACCTGTTCATCTGAGAGGAGAGAAAGAGCGCTTGTGCAGCAGCTGCTGTCCCTCTGTGCACAACAGACACACACACACACGCACGCACGTATACACCGCAGGATCAGCCGTTCATCACACAGCGTCGTTCAGATGTTGGACACTCGGACACGTACATTCTCTCTCACTTTCTGCCTTTCACATTCCTAGTACAGAGATGACCAAGTGCATCAGCGACACCGACTGATGATATATAATTTATCTTTTACTATAGTTTGGTATTCCCAACTATCTTACAATACAGTACACACTGTCATAGAAACATTTGTGCTCTCAATTCTACACCATACTGTATTTATTTTGTGTAAGTTGTAAACTTATTTTTATTACAAATATTGTTTAATTAATTTTAAAATTGAAGATTATTGATTTAAGGTTGCACTTTTTAGGTGCAAAAAAAAAGTTTCTCTGATCTTCTCGAAACTCTAGATTCTGATAGAGGGCCATGAGACTTAGACCTGAGTGCAAAAATGGAGACTCTAGACCCTTCCAAAGCTGAGATATTGAGATCTCATGTAGCATTTAACCCACTATTTTTATAATGGCATAAATGCTACGTGGGATGTCCATATCTCACCTCTGGAAGGGTCTAGAGCCTCCATTTTTGCACTCAGGTCTAAGACTCATGGCCCTCTATAAGAATCCAGAGTTTCAAGAAGATTGGAGAAACTTATTTTTTTGCACCAAAAAAACGAAAGGGGTACCACTGTCGTTTTTTTTTTTTTTTGATGCGAAAAAAAAAGTTTCTTTTTTTCCATTTTTGCACATAAATGCTACGTGGGATGTCAATATCTTAGCTCTGGAAGGGTCTCTAGAGCCTCCATTTTTGCACTCAGGTCTAAGTCTCATTGCCCTCTATCAGAATACAGAGTTTCAAGATGATTGGAGAAACTTATTTTTTTGCAACAAAAAAAAAAACGAAAGGGGTACCACTGTCGTTTTTTTTTTTGTGCGAAAAAAAAAAGTTTCTCCAATCTTCTTGAAACTCTGGATTCTGATAGAGGGCCATGGGACTTAGACCTGAGTGCAAAAATGGAGACTCTAGACCCTTCCAGAGCTGAGATATTGAGATCTCACATAGCATTTAACCCACTATTTTTATAATGGCATAAATGCTACGTGGGATGTCAATATCTCAGCTCTGGAAGGGTCTAGAACCTCCATTTTTGCACTCAGGTATAAGTCTCATGGCCCTCTATCAGAATCCAGAGTTTCAAGAAGATTGAAGTAACTTATTTTTTTGCACCAAAAAAAAAACGAAAGGGGTACCACTGTCGTTTTTTTTTTGGTGCGAAAAAAAAAGTTTCTCCAATCTTCTTGAAACTCTGGATTCTGATAGAGGGCTGTGAGACTTTGACCTGAGTGCAAAAATGGAGACTCTAGACCCTTCCAGAGCTGAGATATTGAGATCTCACATAGCATTTAACCCACTATTTTTATAATGGCATAAATGCAACGTGCACATCAATATCTCAGCTTTGGAAGGGTCTAGAGCCTTCATTTTTGCACTCAGGTCTAAGTCTCATGGCCCTCTATCAGAATCCAGAGTTTGAAGAAGATTGGAGAAACTTATTTTTTTGCACCAAAAAAAAAAAACGAAAGGGGTACCACTGTCGTTTTTTTTTTTGGTGCGAAAAAAAAAGTTTCTCCAATCTTCTTGAAACTCTGGATTCTGATAGAGGGCCATGGGACTTATACATGAGTGCAAAAATGGAGGCTCTAGACCCTTCCAGAGCTGAGATATTGAGATCTCACATAGCATTTAACTCACTATTTTTATAATGGCATAAATGCTACGTGGGATGTCTATCTCAGCTCTGGAAGGGTCTAGAGCCTCCATTTTTGCACTCATGTATAAGTCCCATGGCCCTCTATCAGAATCCAGAGTTTCAAGAAGATTGGAGAAACTTATTTTTTTGCACCAAAAAAAAAAAAAAAACGAAAGGGGTACCACTGTCGTTTTTTTTTTTTTGGTGCGAAAAAAAAGTTTCTCCAATCTTCTTGAAACTCTGGATTCTGATAGAGGGCCATGGGACTTAGACCTGAGTGCAAAAATTGAGGCTCTAGACCCTTCCAGAGCTGAGATATTGAAATCTCACATAGCATTTAACCCACTATTTTTATAATGGCATAAATGCTACGTGGGATGTCAATATCTCAGCTCTGGAAGGGTCTAGAACCTCCATTTTTGCACTCAGGTATAAGTCTCATGGCCCTCTATCAGAATCCAGAGTTTCAAGAAGATTGGAGAAACTTATTTTTTTGCACCCAAAAAAAAAACGAAAGGGGTACCACTGTCGTTTTTTTTTTGGTGCGAAAAAAAAAGTTTCTCCAATCTTCTTGAAACTCTGCATTCTGATTGAGGGCCATGAGACTTAGACCTGAGTGCAAAAATGGAGGCTCTAGACTCTTCCAGAGCTGAGATATTGACATCCCACGTAGCATTTATGCCATTATAAATATCTCAATATCTCAGCTCTGGAAGGGTCTAGAGTCTCCATTTTTGTACTCAGGTCTAAGTCTCAAGGCCCTCTAGCACTATCCAGAGTTTCGAGAAGATCGGAGAAACTCAAAATTTCGACCCGAACAAACCGTCAGGGGTACCCCTGTTGACTTTTTCGGTGCAAAAAAAAAAGTTTCTCTGATCTTCTCGAAACTCTGGATTCTGATAAAGGGCCATGAAGCCTAGACATGAGTGCAAAAATTGAGACTCTAGACCCTTTCAGAGCTGAGATATTGAGGCAGGCGGGCGAAAAGGTCTAGAAAAGGTTGCGAAAAGGTGGCTTTTGTGGCAAGCTTTTATGGCAAAATATCTTTTATTTAATACTTTTTTAAAATAAGGCAATGCAACATTCTTTAAACAGAAAAACATTGTTTTACAAGAGAATTTAGAAGAACTTGTGTGCGTGCATGCATAGTATCAGTGTGGGAGGGGATGATTCACAACATGAGTCATTTCTCCTTCCAGCATCAGGAGCTTCATTCTGCATAACTGCCTTATCTCAAATACACAACTACAGCTGTGTCTTTCAGAATGAAAGCACACTCGCACGTGTCTCATCGGTATATTGAGTGAAGTTCACTGGGTTCTTGTTTCGCTTCTCTATATATAGAGCTTTTATGTAGGAGGACTGCGCACTTCTTTTTCTATATTGATCCTACAAATTGTCAGTACATCGCTGAGCTCTTGTCTCTTATGAAGTGTGGTGATATGGCACCCTGCAGTCAGATACTATATGACTAGTTCAACATCTAACATGTAGTTTAGAGACGCAGGTTGAATGTTATTCAATTGAATGTAATTTCTTTCTTGACAAGTTGGAAGGAATTTTCCCGAATCGTACCGTACGCTCGGTTGAAACAAGGCATTAGGTAATGATAATGACCCTAGCTATGAGCTGAACTTCTGTCATAGCCATGTTAAGCCACTAAACACTGTGACCAAAAGTTGAAATATTGTATTATATCAGAGAAGGATAGTACAGGTAAATTGCCTAAAAAAAATTATATATATATATATATATATATTTTGTAAATATAGATATCAAGTGTTTAAATATATCAATTGTTTAAATTGGGACTAGTGAATTTAGGGGCTGTTTACACTACACTATTATCAACTGAAAATGGAAACGTTTTATGCATTTTGGCATTCATTTACACGACAACAGCGTTTTGTGGCCTGAAAACGCAATCATTTGATAGTGGGATTCCAAGTGCAAGTTTTTGAAAACCATACCATTTAAACTACAAAAATGTGAATTTGTGAAAACTGTCGCTTGTGACGTGTTCGGTCTATAGGCTCGTAGTGTTTCTCTACAAAGTGACATCGCCAACTACTGGCCTGGCTGCAGAATACAGTGTTTATAGTCGTGTTCGCGGATCTGTGAGAACAGGGATTGTTTTGACATTAGCGTAAACAAATGCAAAGGAAAAACTTTTCCGTTTTTAGTGTATCGTTGTCATGTAAACATGCCCTTAGACACTGTATGAAAAATGTATTACATTTAACAGTGTTAAGTGTTATTAATTTAGCGTTTTTAATTCGATGTTAGATGGCCGCAATGCTAATCTAAATGTAAAAATAGGGTAGATTACCGACATGATGCCACTATATATTGTATTAAGAAAAGCTTAATTTGTATTGAACCTGGAACATTCCTATAAACCCACCCTGAAAACGTTATCCCCCCGGTTTTACAGACAAGGTTTAAGCCTAGTCCTGGACTAAAATCCATGTTTGAACTGTTTTAACTGAAAGCAAATTGCACAGACCTATCTTAAAAACATCACTTGTGTGCGTCTTGACACAAAACATTGGCACTGACACATTTTTTTCTAAGACACGTTTATAAAAGCTACTTAAATAGCCTAATTGAAATAAGGCCTATTCCTGGCTTAATCTAAGCCTTGTCTGTGAAACCAGGCCAAAATCCCAGTAGATCAACCCAACCTGTCCCTATCATTAAGTTGGAGTTTATTTTATAAAATAATTTTTTTTCTTCTTTTCTTGCACAAATCCTCTGCAGGCCTTTAATTCTGAGACGGACAACTTCAAGCTCATGTACGGAGGTCACCAGTACCACGCCAGCTGCGCTAACTTCTGGATCAACTGCGTGGAACCCAAACCCCCGGGTCTCATCCTGCCCGACCTGCTCTAGAACCCTGAGCCACTGCCTGTAGGATTATGGGAGTCACTTAACTGTTTAACGCTGTTTGCCTTTCAACCGGTACAGCTCTCGCCATTTTAAATTGGGATGCAATTAGATCTAGATCTGCCATTGTCTGTAGGAAGATCAGATGAGATGTACTACTGAATAATAGTTATTTAAAATATTGTAAATGTGTCTTTGTCTTTACCTTTTTGGATCTGACTCGGTCATGTACAGATGTGTCTGGTTGGTTGATTCTTTGCTGTTGATTTCTCTACCATGTGAAATAATTACCGCAGAGCTGTTCTGCATGTTATGAATATTAGACTTGTAATATAAAACAATAAAGGGAAAACATTGGAAAGCATCAAAAATTTGTAGCAGATATTACTGAAATATATTTCAATATTGGTATTTTCTTTTGTGTGTCATTGTTTTCTGTTATAATTGTGCTGGAACACAAGTCACTTTTGTAGTGGGTCTGGAAACGGTCCTTGAATGCTTGAGTTTCTGAGCATCTTCTAAAGCATCAAGCCTGGGCGCTGTTCTGAAATGTTTTGATATTTAGTGTTCTGAATTTAGATGTGACGCTTTTAAAGGACTTTGTTGTGCGACACTTTGAAGAAAATTTAAAAGTCGGGGGATGTAAGAAATAAAGTCAAGCCTTTTCCCTCTTCTTCCAACTCAAGCAGAATGACCCTAAACTTTCATAATGAGTTAACTTTTAATTGAGGCACTATTAATGAATTGATGAGGATACAAAATAGATTAAATTGCTTTGTACATGATGGTCATTGTTGGTGTTTTACTGGGGTCTTAATGGTTTTTTAATGGTCTTTATTGTCATTGTATCATGAATTCAACTCATTCATTATTATTAATTTATGAGCCTTTTCTACTAAACTTATTTTGTGTGTCCTTTTATGTCTGTATTTCTGTTAATACTTGAAGCCTGCAAGGGTAAATTAAAATCTTTGAATGTTAGTATTGAATACAAATGTGAAATTTCTGTGCCACACATTAAAGTGATTACTCTGCGTTTCTTCATCTGTATCAGGACCAGCTCCTCACACATCCCTCACACTGACTCAGCGCTGATAGCTGCCATTCACAGCAGTATAATCTTGGCAGCAGTTTCCAAGGATACAAGACTTTGAATTTGTAACATTGTGAAAATACAGTAAGTTTAGTCCCAGTCTGTACATACAAAAAAAGTGTTGAAATAAGGCCAACTACATATACATATATATACGTTATATATATATATATATATACACAACCCGAATTCCGGAAAAGTTGGGACGTTTTTTAAATTTGAATAAAATGAAAACTATACAACTTTCAAATCACATGAGCCAATATTTTATTCACAATAGAACATAGATAACATAACAAATGTTTAAACGGAGAAATTGCACACTTTTATCCACTAAATGAGCTCATTTCAAATTTGATGCCTGCTACAGGTCTCAAAATAGTTGGGACGGGGGCACGTTTACCATGGTGTAACATCTCCTCTTCTTTTTAAAACAGTATGAAGACGTCTGGGCATCGAGTTTATGAGTGTCTGGAGTTTTGGTGTTGGAATTTGGTCCCATTCTTGCCTTATATAGGTTTCCAGCTGCTGAAGTGTTCGTGGTCGCCTTTGACGCATTTTTCGTCTAATGATGCGCCAAATGTTCTCTATAGGTGAAAGATCTGGACTGCAGGCAGGCCAATTCAGAACCCGGACTCTTCTACGACGAAGCCATGCTGTTGTAATAGCTGCAGTATGTGGTTTTGCATTGTCCTGCTGAAATACACAAGGCCTTCCCTGAAATAGACGTTGTCTGGAGGGGAGCATATGTTGCTCTAAAACCTTTATATATCTTTCAGCATTCATAGTGCCTTCCAAAACATGCAAGCTGCCCATACCGTATGCACTTATGCACCCCCATACCATCAGAGATGCTGGCTTTTGAACTGAACGCTGATAACACGATGGAAGGTCTCCCTCTTCTTTTGTCCGGAGGACACGGCGTCCGTGATTTCCAACAAGAATGTCAAATTTGGACTCGTCTGACCATAGAATACTTTTCCACTTTGAAATAGTCCATTTTAAATGAGCCTTGGCCCACAGGACACGACGGCGCTTCTGGATCATGTTCACATATGGCTTCCTTTTTGCATGATAGAGCTTTAGTTGGCATCTGGAGATGGCACGGCGGATTGTGTTTACCGACAGTGGTTTCTGGAAGTATTCCTGGGCCCATTTAGTAATGTCATTCACACAATCATGCCAATGAGTGATGCAGTGTCGTCTGAGGGCCCGAAGACCACGGGCATCCAATAAAGGTCTTCGCCCTTGTCCCTTACGCACAGAGATTTCTCCAGTTTCTCTGAATCTTTTGATGATGTTGTGCACTGTAGATGATGAGATTTGCAAAGCCTTTGCAATTTGACGTTGAGGAACATTGTTTTTAAAGTGTTCCACAATCTTTTTACGCACTCTTTCACAGATTGGAGAGCCTCTGCCCATCTTTACTTCTGAGAGACTCTACCTCTCTAAGACATCCCTTTTATAGCTAATCATGTTACAGACCTGATATCAATTAACTTAATTAGTTGCTATAGATGTTCTCCCACCTCAATCCTTTCTAAATTTATTGCTTTTTCAACCATTTGTTGCCCCCGTCCCAACTATTTTGAGACCTGTAGCAGGCATCAAATTTGAAATGAGCTCATTTAGTGGATTAAAGTGTAAAATTTCTCCGTTTAAACATTTGTTATATTATCTATGTTCTATTGTGAATAAATATTTCCAAATTTGATTTGAAAGTCATATAGTTTTAATTTTATTCAAATTTAAAAAATGTCCCAACTTTTCCGGAATTCGGGTTGTATATATA